ACGTGGCTTTGTAGATCAGCATCTAGTCTAATGAATAGTCACGAGGACTGTCTTTGAGTTCCCCTAAAAGCAGCTCCAGAGACCAGAGTTTGCCAGCAAGTCATCTATGTGCATTTGATATCAGAAGGCCCAGCAGGGCACTGGAAAGGGAGACACAGAACAGGGAACCAAGAAAGGGGTGGTAATGAGTGGGCCATTGATAGGAAACAAGATTAGTCCCAACTAACTCTCCAAATTGCTCCACTGAGGGGCAAAGGAGCTGGGCTATTCATCCCTGGTCCCCACCCCCTCACTGGTGGAGGGTCACCATGGATTATGGATCCTCAACCCTTTGGGCAGAGTCTAAAAACATCCATATCAGCAGGCAGACACAGGAAGAGGGGTGGCCACAGGTGACAGGTATCAGGTACTCTGGCCCAGGGTAGCCGAGCGCAAACAGGTAGAACGCTTCAGAATCTACTACAAAAGCCCAATACAATGTCAGAAGCCCATTTTTACACTTAGAGAATAAATTACACTTTCAAAGCACCTTCTCTGGCTCAGTTGGTTTTCCCAACACTCCCCATGATAGGTGTTAGGCCATTGTTATGAGCCCTAATTTACAAAAGGAAGAGATCGAGCTCCTGCCCAAAGTCGCATAACCAATTGTCTACTTTCATTTACAGACTCAAAGAGCTTCATATCACCAAAGAACTTGCCAGGGAGTTACTTTAAATAACACAACATTTAGTCCTTTAAAATTATTTGGTAATTTGAATACAGTTGAATACAGTTCTTCAGGAATGTATCTGATGTAAGGTGCCTCCTGTCTCCGGGTGCTCAACCTCACTACAGTAACCCCATATTCAGTGTCCACCATGTGCTGGCTCCTCACAGTGCCATGGGACCCAAACGCCCTTTCTGACAGTTGCTCTCCCAACCTTTGTGGGTGCTAACAAGATTTTATTGTCAACAAAACTGAATTAAACAGCAACCATGGGCACATGATATAAGCTGACTCTCATGGGCCAATGGTAGAGAAGCACGATGAATTTTTATAGGAAAACATTCAAATGCAAAGGTATTGGCAGTAAAGGTCATTTCATCCTGACCAAAAACAGTGATTGTGTTCCATTGCCCATTTTAGACGTACTTTCCAAATTAATTCACCTCTTTTGTGGCTGCCATAAAAGGGAACCTCGACAGGGGAAAATTAATGAGGCTGGAGCCTCCTGCAAGACAGTCTGAAGAAATTTCTGATCCAGAGAGGAAAGCCATTCTCTGTGAATGATGGCCCGCAGCGTGTGGACGGGAAGCATTATGTAGTTGTGACCCTGTTGATACCACGGCCATCCCATGCTGCAAGCCTATGGCTTTTTCATTTGGTGCCTTGGAGGAGAAGGCTATCTCCTGACTGCAGACACAGGGGCCACCAAGGCAGCCACCCAGTGTGGGAGGGCAGGGTGGCGCTGCTACCTCTGTCACTGGCCACCGGAGACAACTGCATTTTCCAATTCAGTGCACACGGTGGGAGTCTTCAAAACCCAGAGAAACCTGCTTTGGGCTCCACACCTTCCAAATATGTGCCACATCCAGACTGGGTTTCGATGTCACATGATTTTTCTCTCAGATGTGGACCCAGTAGGGATGCTAATTACCTCCAATGAGGCTTTGCAAAAACCCAGGGTTGAAGGTTTTGTTTGCAAACAGTCACAGTGCTTGCCAACAGCATGACCTTGAGTCACTGCTAGCATAGTTTCCTTTGGGGGTTGTTGAGGACCACCAGTGAGCCACATGGTACCTGGCATATGCTAAGGATTGCCAAGTTGGGTTCTATGCCACAACAATAGGAACAGCAGCACATCCTAGCGCTTTCCAACCTCAAAGGCTATCTCCTGCTACCAGTCTCAGAGGGACTCGGCAAAGCTCCTTGCTTCCATTCTTCACTGTTCTTTCCCATCTTGTGGCGATGCGGTACTTTCCACCCTGCTGTTAACCTCCTATGCCTCTGCCTCTGGTTCTAGGACAAAGGCAGAGTTTGCAAACCTCAGGAGGGAAGGTGTCACAATGATCAAGAACAAAGTTGATTACTCTGCATTAAAAAATGACAAAATCAGAATTTTCAGGGAAATGGATGGCATTAGAGCAGATTATGCTAAGTGAAGCTAGCCAATCCCTAAAAAACAAATGCCAAATGTCTTCTTTGATATAAGGAGAGTAACTTAGAACAGAGTAGAGACGAAGAGCATGAGAAGAAGATTAACATTAAACAGGGATGAGAGGTGGGAGGGAAAGGGAGAGAGAAGGGAAATTGCATGGAAATGGAAGGAGACCCTCAGGGTTATACAAAAGTACATACAAGAGGAAGTGAGGGGAAAGGGAAAAATAATACAAGGGGGAGAAATGAATGACAGTAGAGGGGGCAGAGAGAGAAGAGGGGAGGGGAGGGGAGGGGAGGGGGGATAGTAGAGGATAGGAAAGGCAGCAGAACACAACAGACACTAGTATGGCAATATGTAAATCAATGGATGTGTAACTGATGTGATTCTGCAATCTGTATATTGGGTAAAAATGGGAGTTCATAACCCACTTGAATCAAAGTGTGAAATGTGATATATCAAGAACTATGTAATGTTTTGAACAACCAACATTAAAAAATTTAAAAAAAAACCTGAAAAATAAATAAATAAATAAATAAATAAATAAATAAATAGAACAAAGTTGAGCTCTGCCTTGGCAGAAATCTTCTCTGAACTACTTCACCAGAGTCTCCCTTTTGCCATTTGTGACACGGGGCTCTTGGTACCAATCCCAGAGCGCGTGATTGACGGGTGCAGAGTGCATAGTACCTACCTACAGGGCACAGGGAAGTCCTAGACAGATTGTATCTAGCACTTGTTTTGGGACCCTGCCAGCTCCACGTAAACTCATGGTCGATCTTTCCTTCACTAGATGGAGCTGATCGTTTCGCTCGCTTCAGTGACATTCACTGAAGTGGGGGTCTCAATTCTACCTACCTATGGGTGAGCGTGGGCAGTTCTCTCTGTAAAATTTGGGGGCAGAATACTGGTGGTGCCCCCAAATTTTCCGTCCTTCCGACAAAGGACGGAAGTCCTTTCCAGAGCTGTATTTTCTGTTCGGTGATTTTTTTGTCATCATAAAAAACGTTTCTGTCTGGATGAGAAACCATTCCAATGAAGTTAGCCAATTCTTAGAGACAGCAAAAGACCCAGCCTGGAGCATTCCTCTGAAACATTATCCCAAAGCCAGAGCTCCTCCATGTACACCTGGAATCGCCAACTCAAACCATCAAAATGCTTCAAACTGAAATCCTGATCTGTTTACTCTGCCTTGCCCACAGAAACCCCAATAAAGGCCCAGGTCTAAAGCTACTTCTTGCTCTCGTCTTCTGTCCGCAGGCCACCCTGGTGCCTTTCCATGTGACCCCATGTGGTATGTCTGTGCCCCTTGTCTCTAGCATGTGTGAGTGAAAAGAACTTTATTTTCCTGAGCCTTTCTTGTGTCTTCTCCTGAGTTGGAGATTGAGTTGGTTCTAATCATTTCATCGCATCATAGGTAGCTCTTACACTGGCACCAAGCCCACTGATAGTGGCCAACTCTGACTTGTCCCAACCTTAACTTTGACGTGGCAATGAGTCAGACATCAAAGGTTGACTGCTGCCATGGCCTGGCTGAACATCGCCCAGTGGCCCTCATCAAAGACTTACCTGTCTCTAATCATACTTAAGTCAGATGACGAGGTCAACCTTTTCTCCCCTGTGGATTGCCTTCAATCTCCTGGTATCTTGGACTTGCTCCTTCTTGCCTCTATTTTCTAGGCCAAAAGGCATGAGCTGACAGCTGGCAAGAAAGAAATGACCTGGAAACTTATGGCAATAGACTTGATCCACATAGATTGTTACACCAATAAGCAAAAGTTGGGTATTTTTAGATAAAACTGAAATTCAAAAAAAAAAAAAAATATGTCAGCAGGCTGGCAATAACACTAAGATTGCCTGGCGAGGGAAGGGAGGCAAGAAGAATCTAAAGGAGAGAAGTCACAGTCCAAAGGGTAGACAGAGGGAGGATAACAGGGAACACGATAACACGAAAACTAAAGAAGCTGTATCCACATTAGAAATGTCATGGACAGAAACTGCAAAGACACACCTGGTTTGTCCAAAAGGTATGTTAGCAATTTATTAGTGAGGCATGTAGAAGATGACAAAGGTTTAAAAAAGAGACTAAGTGAGGACTAAAATAAGCTAAGCATCCAGAGATTCGGCTTCAAAATTAATATCCATGAGGCTATAAAAGTTAAAAGAATTTATTTATGAAAAGGTAACTTATGGTAGCAGCCAAGAGTTGCTAATACCAAGGAGAGAATGACCACCAAAGAGTGAGGGCAGTCACAGCAGCAGCATTACACAGGAAATGAGAAGGGGTAAGACAAAGTCAGAGCCAAAGGCTGACTGGAGAGGTGGCCTCAGGCATTAGTCCATTCCATAGCTGGGCACACACCAAAGGGCAGGAACACCACCATCAGGCACATGTTCACCACCATTTTCAGAGAATATACTTAAGGAGAAGCTGTGTTTTCAAAGGATCCACAAAACATCTATGCTATGATCAAAGAAATACTTTTCTTATTTGTCAAAAAAAAAATATTTTCACCAACTAATTATAAACTAGTGAGAAAAACACTTCAGTGTGATTTTTATGAACTTATGACAAGAAGCACCAAGCTTAATAGAATCTTTGTAGAAACCAAAAAAATATATGATGTGAAATTTACCAAATAAAAGGTAAGCCACAGCTAAGAAGAGGTAGATATCTCTATTTCCAAGTGTCGATCAGATGTGAAGAGATCTTGGTTAATAAAATCATGAACTGTGGGCTCATAAATTTATGTCAGATTAGATCTGTAAACATTAATAAAGTTTTATGTAAAGTCAAACAAGAAGAATGTGTATAATGAATTGCCTAGGGAACGTTTAACTACAAAGCCAAGACATCAAAAATAAGGTTCATTTTTTTTTGTTTATTAAAACAAAACTACATTTCTGTGCTTCTCACAACACATTATCAGGCATAACAATCAATCAACATGTCCAAGTTTCACTCACAAAATCACTCAGCATTACTTTACAATACTTTATAGCAATTCTTTTTACAACAATCTAGCATTTCTTTGTACAACAGGCAATACTTTAACCCCTTCCATCAAGACATTTAGCCCTTTAACTGTTTAGAAATAAAGTGAAGAGTCTCTTTCAAAGCAATCATTAGTTCGTATTAAACTAAAATGCCAGGTGGCAACTCCAGGTTCCTAAAAAGAGTATTTTAAAAAACAGATTTACATCCCATAGTAAGTCTTATAAACCTCAATAGGTTCTACATTTCTAAATACTGGAACTATCTACGGATAAAAATCTGCATTCAGTTGTGCGATGTTTTCTTCTAGATCTGAATTAAAACCTTGATCATTCCCCACAATTAATCCTTGTATTAATTCTGCTACTTTCAGTAAAAAAGCCAGAGTCATTGACAGTTCATCTTCCCATCAAAGGAAAGAGCTCTGGCCACCTATGTTACAATTTTTCTGTGCTTATTCTTTCCAGGGGAGGAAATACCCATCATTCATCTCAACATTTGGTGGTACAAAATGCATGCGAATTCGGCCTCGGTGCCATCTGTTCGTCAGTGTTTTGTCTCCTTATAGAACTGCCTAACGTAGTGTCTTCCCAAATGTTTTCCATAGGATACTAGTGAGAGGTTCAGAGGTGTCCCAGAGGGGGAAAAGGTCCTGAGGTCAAGAGTTTGGGAAATGCCAGGTTCAACAGACTGCTGGGGGCCAAGCCCTTACCGTGCTCAGGTGCAGTACAAGTTTCCACGATCGAACAGTTTGCCAGCAACACTTGCTAAAAAACACCAAGGTACATCTCCCAGGGTCCTCAGAAGACAAGGAACTCTACGGGCACTGCCCTCGCCCCTCCAGGTTGCAGGAAACTCCACAGTCGGAGCTTCCATTCACTGCCATCCTAGGACATATTTTCTTTACTCACCCTCGTGACTCCGTGAGACTTAGAGGTCTGAAGAAGAAGATGCAGTGCCTTCTCAGTTCCTAGTTTTTTACACTTAACACACATTTTTGTCATTTTGTTAGAATTTTAAGACAGTGCAAATTCCTTCCTTTCTTCTGAATTTCTTATTTTTTTAAAAATAGGGTGCAGTTTCATATTGCTTGTTACTGGGTTATTTGTTTTTAAACTTGACTCACAGTCTTCCCCTGAAGGGCATGCATTTCAGTTTCATAGAAATGCAATACAGTAAACTGTAATAAATTATTTACAAGCACCTAGTTGGTTTAACCTTACTTGGAAGCCATCCACTGTTGGAAAACAATGAGAACGTGTCTATTAGCAAAACAGAGCTATCTGGAAGCCTTATTGTGATCTTTTTTCCCCAGTAATGAGGCACTAAAGAATGAGCTGTGCTAAAATTAACTTAAGGGTCAGCTTCTCTGGATGAGCATAACTTTGGTTGAGATTTTTCTTCCTTAAAAAAGGTTTTCAAAGCACCAGTTAATTATAAAAGCATGCATGTTTATCCTCACAGTGAGTTAAGTGGCAAGAGAGATAGCAAATTGCATTCCCCAAAGCATCTGATCAAATTTCTTGAAAACAAACCAACCAAAAGGGAAAATAAAGCAAGAGAAGCCATAGTTTCTCTGCTCAAGCTGGTAAAGCAGCAGCTCTTTGCAAAAGTGACAGGCAGAGCAGCAATATCCACTGGAAAGCCAGTCTCCGCCTGGACTTTCCAGCCAACTAACAGAGAAGTTGAATGATCCTTGAATTACAATTTAGAGGATAGGAAAAGAAGAGACTTGTGAAGTGTTTGATTCCCCAGAGAAGGACCATCCAAGGGAATGAACAGATTCCCTGGGTAGTCCCCAAGTGCAGCCAGAAGTGTTCCTCTATTCTACTCAGTAAATTGAAGGTGAAAAGGTGGCATCTCATGCCACACAGTTGCTATAGTGACTGACTTAATGGTACGTGAGTTTCTACAAGATAAAGGAGAGATATATTTATGTACAGAATTGAGAATGGTGAAAGATCACACAGCATTAGCATTATTGCTGACTCTCAAACAAGATTATTTCACAGAATGTGAACTATCCACCAATACCCCTCCCTCTCCCAATGCACACATACTCATGAAATACTATTAGTGTTTAAAATCCAAGTTCAGGAAAGTACAAACTTAATTTGCAGTACTTTTATACTAAATTCAAAGAATCTATGCAACACTCATCAGAAAAAACTCAGTTTCATAATATCATGGAAATAAGGGACAATAAATGGTTAGGAAAATTTTTAACATTACATGATCTTTAAGAAATCACCATAATTATCACAATTAATTATGCTCCCTGCTCACAAAAAGGCACCTACCCATTATAAACAGACAATTTTTCATAATTAATTATTTGCCTCTATGAGGCATGAGAGGGTTTAGGCATATAAACCATGTTTTTTTCTCAAAGGTAAAAATCCATAAATGCTATTCACCTAGAAGTAGGGACATGCAGATACTGCACAGTTCAAACACTGCAAACTCGAGTAAGTACCAGCCACCCACCGACCTGTGTGCATACATGAAAGCCCTGGGTCGGGAGTCTGCAGCCAGAGCATGCACTAACAGAGCCCATCAGGATGAGCTAATCAACTCAGTGCAGGTGCTATTTGGCTGGAGATCTTAGAAGAAACAGCTGTACCTGTGAGAGGTGGGAAGGGGTGCAGACATAAAACAGGAGAAGTTTTTAAATACTTGCTGGTCATTTGAAATTCAATGGCACTTTTTTATGTGAGCACAAGTTTTCAGTGCCAGTTTTCTGGCCAGGTTTACCTTGTATTTTGCCAGCTAAATTTAATTCCTGATGTTGGCTATTTGATCGCATTATCTCAGTTCCTGACCTAAACTAATATTGTCTGTTTTCATGTAGCTCTTAACACGTTTTCTAAATCTGACCTCAGAGGACAGCACAGTGATATCTGGGTATGATGTACCTCAGCCCACTCATCTGTAAAGCACTTGGGATGAAAGGGCTCCCGTTTCAAATTTAGTTACTACTGACAAAGGTAAAACCGAAAAGAGTGAATGGATGACAATTATTTTTAAGGGAAGCATTAACGATTAATCAGAAAATATACGAATGAATTACTCCACTATTTATGTATACTATACAACATTTAGTTCTAGAATACAACTACATTTCTGTTTCCATCACAGTAATTAGTCCTTAAAAGTTGTACTTAAAATGTAAATCTTTAATAAACTCCAAAATAATTTATTGAGATTTCACCTAGTAATCTACTGATTATGAGTTGCAACAGAGGCTGAGGGCCCCCCGAGTGTTATCCATAGGCCGCTGTGTCTAAGAGTTGGGAAGATCACAGGTCCACAAAGGGGAGAAGGCACTTGTCTTCCAGGTCACCTCAGGGCAGGGCAGGCCCGGCCACGCGACGGCACCTGCAACTCTCAGGACAAATGCTGGAGCCTGCAAGGGACTCATCTCCAGCCCTTCACTTGCCAGAGGTGCCATAAGTTACCTACAGCACCACAAAACTCAGGATATATTCTAGGAGTTTTTGCCGGTTGCATTGAGGTAGGAAAGTGCTGCTCAGTTCTAAAATAGATACTCTCTTCTGCTTGGTCTCTTTGAAAACCTGAAGAGAAAGTGTAGATTCAATTAAAGGCAAAGGAGGGCATATCTGTCACCAACCCTGACCTGTGTTCTAGACCCCAAAGGGCAGCAAAGGCACCTAAAACCACGTCCCGATTTAAATAAATGAGGATGTGCAGGTGCACATGAGGCAGGAGGCTGGGGACACAGTTCAACCAGTGCATCATACACTATGACTGAAGCCAGAACAAAGTCACACACCGTCCCTTACAAAGAGACACTTGATGCCCCTGGAGTTCATGTTCCACATGAGACCAAGGGAAAGCCTGAGAAGACTTGTAGCAAGACCAGCAAAAACACAAGGAAAAAACTGAGAGCCATGTGGAATTAAATGAATGGCTGAGCTCACAGGAGCATCTTGAAACGCTCTGATATCTTTATATGTAAACAGTTTGGGAATGAATATGAAACCAACACAATTCTGGGACATGCAAATGAATCTGTACTGATGGGTCTCACTGTCGCCATGTCCCTCCCCAGCACTCATCCCCAGAAATGCCTCTCCAGTCAACCCAGCAGAAGCAGCTGTTCTTGGGGCCACGCTCCCAATACAAATAGTGCAAACAGACTAGATCTTGAGAGCCAATGTCAACACAGCTTTTATAAACATGGATACCTACCCCAATATCCTTAAACATTTTCACAGCATTCTTCACAAGACAGTAGGTGGCACTCTCAGCTGTAGAGAAACAATAAGACCCTGTCAGGGTTTAGATCTAGTGGACATAAAGCCCCAAGGCCAGCAGTAAGAAAGCAGTGGGGGCAGAGGGAGGGCCACAGCAAGCCGCAGACCTGCCAGCTCCGCTTCTGCCACTGGCAACAGTGAGGTCTCCCAGATGATCTGTGGTCTCTTTAAACCCATTCTATCATCTATTAGGGAAAAATGGTCGGGGAGGGAGAAAAGAGAAGGAAGGATGGACAATACCTAAAGTATCCATTTTGCAGGGTCTCTGTGAGACTCAAACAAGATAATGTGTGAGAATTCCTGTAAACTACACAGTGCTGCATAGATGGTTCCTACACACCTGTGCAGCCAGAGGGAGCACAGGCTACAGATCAGAAAGCAAGAATTCTAAACCCAAGATTGTCCATTAACTGACTAGCTGTATGATCCTGGGTAGTTTCCTCATTCATAAAGTGAGGTGATTGAATGAGATTATCTCTGGATACCTTTTGGCTCTAAAACTTGATTCTAAGTAGTTTCAGTTCCAAACTGTAACCATATGAAGTGCTACCCCTACCCCATCCACACCTATCATAGATATAAGAGATGAGGGCGGGGGTTGTGGCTCAGTGGCAGAGCACTTGCCTAGCACGTGTGAGGCACTGGGTTCGATCCTTAGCACCACATAAAAAATAAAATAAAATAAAGGCATTCTGTCCATCTATAACTACAAAAAATAAATATTAGAAAATTAGAAAAAAAAAAGAGAGAGAGATGATGTGACAACCCCAAGGGCTGCAGGACATGGAACAACTGAAACACACGCTACTGGGAGGAAGGAAAGTTGGTACAACACTTAGAAACTGTCTGGCAGTATCTACTAAAGCTGAACATACCCATGGCCTGTGACCAAGCAATTCTATTCCTGCTTGTATGTCATATATATGATCATAGATGCTCCCCCAAATGACATTCAAACATGTTCACAGCAACACTATGCAAGGTAGCTCTAAACTGCAAATGATGCAAATATCTTTCAACAGTAGAATGAATAAAGTATGGTAAATAATGGAACATTTCATGACAATAAGTCAAACTACATATAACATGTATGACTCTCACAAATGTTGAGTGAAAAAAAGCCAGATTTAAGAGTACATTATTGCATCATCTAACTTACATGACATACCAAAGAAAATAATTGTAATAATCTATTGAGTTACAGGTCAGGATAATTTTATATTTTTCCAATTTCCTACAATAAGCAGATTTCTATAAAAATTTTAAAAGTTTTACAAATAGTCAAAGAATGTATGAAAATTGTCCAACATCAATCAGGGAAATGCAAATCAAAACTACACCAAGATTTCATTTCACTCTCATTTCATCAATGGCTGCAGTAATGGCAGCTGTCAAGAATGCCAACAAGGAGCTATAGTTGTGGCTCTCGGGTAGAGCACTTGCCCAACACGTATCAGGCACTGGGTTCGATCCTCGGCACCGCATAAAAATAAATAAAATAAATGTATCGTGTCCATCTACAAATAAAAAAATATTTAAAAAATAATAAAACAATAATAAAAATTGGACAATAATAAATGATGGAGAAAATGTGGGGAAAAAGAAACACTATTAGTGAGATTATAAATTCATACAAACACTGTGAAAATCAATATGGCATTTTATCAAAAGGAATGGCACCACATGATCCAGCTATCCCACTCCTCAGAGTTATCCTAAAGAATTAAAATATCATATCATAGGGATGCATGCGTATCCATGCTTACAGCAGCACAACTCACAACAGCCTAACTATGGAACCAGCCCAGGCATCTGTCAACACATGAGTGGAAAAAGAAAATGTGCTATATATCCATAAAGAAATTTTATTCAACCACAAAGAATGAAATTATATCATTTGCAGGAAAATGAATGGTACTTGAAAGCATTATTTTAAACGAAATACGCCAACCTGATAAAGTCTAGGGTCATATGTTTTCTCTCTTATGTGAAAGGTAGAGAGAAAAAAAGAAGTGTGTTGGGTAGAAGGGTGGTTTTCATGAAATTACAAGGGAGACCAGTAGAGAAAAGGGACCAGGGGTTGACTGGGGGGCGGGGGGGAAGTATGGGAGAATGAAATTGAACAAATCACATGTGTGCATATAATGAATATAGAACAGTGAATTGCACTATTATGCATAACTATAATGCACCAATGAATTTTTTTTAATTTTTAAAAGAAGTTGAAATAGGGATTTAACATACCATATACTGCAACATTTCTTTCGGTTCGGTCGATTAGGTATTTGTGCAGCTTTTGCAGATATTCAGGCTCCGGAACAGGACCACTGAAGTTGTGGACAAAGATGGCGGCAGAGCTGTAGGCCTCCAGTAAAGGCCCAAGCAGTCTCTGTAGGAAGGTGATGAACTGCTGGTGCTCCTTGGACTGGCTCACCTGAGAGTACAAAAGCAGAAAATGAAGGCTCCAACAAGGGACAGAAGAAGTGAAGCAAGCTGACAAGGACTTTATTTGGAAAAAAGAGTAACTTGAAAAGATGGCCCCTCCCACTAACACTATATAAAAGGAGAATACTCGTCATGCAGATAATCTCTGTTAAAAACAACTGATTCTGAAATGTGTTCTTTACTGCAATCTTTCACTTTTATAATATTTGAGGCTGTGTTCACTAACCAGTCCCTAGAAGCAATTTTTATAACTGAATGACAATTATGACATTCTGTCATCAAAGCAAACAACTGGTTCTGAGGCTGGGCCCTCTGGGGTTTAAAGCCTGGACTCAACAGTCACTCGAGTGTGACAAAAGGCCATCAGGTCAGACTACTGAGATCATCTCAGTCCTTCCCAGGTCCCACTTTCTGTCTCCCCCATAGGACTTCACCATGCACTAGCACTTTGGGGAAGGATGGGCACAGTAATGGGGAGCTTTGTGGCCCGGGAGGTTCTCACTGCACCCACCCAAAATTGAAGGTTGATTTGAGCCCCTCTGGAGTGTGCAAGCAAGATCACTGCCTTATCTTCAAACTAGTAATATCTAAATGTAAAGAGAGAGAAATTCTGAATGTCACTTGGCAAAAAAAAATACTGCCTCATGGGGAGTAGGTATGAGGATGGGTGAACAAGAATGTGCCTGTAGATTTCACAAGATAGCAGTGACAGGGACCCCCCTGGTCTTCCTCTTTCTGATTTCTCAACTCTTAGTTCCTTTTCTACTTACCAATCCCCAAACTGAGCAATTTAGGTGTCTTTACTAGATGGAGCTGGCTAGTGAGTATTTAGAATATAAACGAGTTACCAGAGTTTAGTTTACCTAGCTGCAATATGAACCTCAACTCATCACTGTAATGTTCCCTTCAATTCTTCACCAAAGTACCTTTAGGTAGCAATCTCGCTGCTCCTCACCAAAATCACTGTCTTCATCTTCTTCATCACTTCTCCAAGACAACGGTTCGGGAAGCTTCTTGTCCCACTGCTGCTCTGCAAGACCAGGACTGATTTCTTCCTGGTCATCTTGCTATGCCAAGGAAACCACCAACAGTGAAAAAATACACCCAGGTACCCAAGTAACTGCCCAGCTGGACCAGAGAAGGCAGTCCTCTTCTCAGTCCCTTCCTGCCCCTTCTCTGTTTAGCCTTTCCTAACACCAGTCTACCTCCCTCTCCAATCAAAAATCACTCAGGAGATAGCAGGGGAAGGAGAAGGGTAGGGTCTTGGGAAAGAGCTACCAGACAGAGCAAATGAAGATACTCTTCCATCTTCTAAATTGACTTCCATTTTCCCAGGCCCTCCCCTCTACACCAAAGCCACCAAAACTAAAATCTCAAGAGAAAATTGCACATATGCAAGCTACAAGCACACTGATATGTACAGTGTCGCATCTTAGAATGCAACTTCTGGATGTCACAGAATCAAGTCAAGGTATGCCTTAAAACAATAGCACTTACACAAAAGAAAGCAAAATATTAAATAATTCAAAAAGACATTTATTCTCCCCATCTTTATGTTTCTCTTCTTTCACCTAGACATGACTACATGGCAAATGTAATTATTGGTTAAAATTACTGATAGAAATACTGGCATAAATAATTGCTGGAAAAGGTAAGGAAACAGAGCAAGAAACTCAAGAGACAAATAAAGGAAGGCTCTTCCTCTTACCTCTGCCACTGTAAGAATACCATACTGGATAAATCTTCCTACTGTTTCATGGCAAACTTGGTAAAAAGTCTGGCAGGGCTGCAGGAAAAACAACAACAACAAAAAACTTATTTACACACATAAATTTCACTGTTCCATATTTTTTAAAGACACTGAACAAAGTAGCTGTCAAATCCTTCCATGTTATCACCTACTTCACTCCCCTGGCAAGTCCTGTGATTTCTAATGTCCACCCTGTTGATAAATGCCTGGTCATGGACAAAGCCAGAGAGACCTAGTTTCCTAGCTGGTGGGCACTCCTGATGTGAAACCACCTGCAGAGGGCGCTCCTGAACTCAGTCCTCTCCCAGAGTAGAGCAAGCCCTATTCTGAGGGGTAGGGTCTTGGTCCCCACCATCTGTTTCTTGGTCTTTTATGAGACAATCTCTCTGATAGGCCATCTTACAACAAAGAATGTTCACAAAAGTAGTGAATGAGGAAACAAAGTATTATGACAAGACCCTGGGAAAGGATGAGGCTAATCTTAAGATTCTCATCTGTCCCTACCTTTCCTGTCACATCATCCAAAGTTCATGCAAAACAGGTTCCCCAACAGAACCACCAATCAATGATACAAAATGAGAACATACAGAAGAGCTGTACTCAAAATACTTTTAATTGCAAATGTCCCAAGATTTATTCATATAAGGGGAAGAGATATTAGAATACAAATAAAATATGAATTGTACTTGATTGAGAAGGAAATATTTATGGCTCAGTATATATGTCTCATTTTAAATATCTAGAAGTGCCAGGTTATAATATAAATGCTAACTTTTACTTCTGGGCTTCAGTTTCCTCATTTGTAAATTGAGAGGGGGTCAAACAGATGATTTTTAAGGCTGTTTCTCTCACTCTTTATCACCTGTGATCCATCATCTACATGTGGGTGTGTTAATTACTGACAAACTATGACTCAGACCCTTTCACACATCACTCAGTCACTTTGGGTCTAACTACAAACATGGAGCAATCTGTCCTCCCATGCCTTGTAGTTGCACAAAGGATTCACTGGGGAGGTGAGCCACACTCAAACCAAGATGGTCAATGACATTGATTTGGTGGTCACTGACGGCAGGAGTGAACAGAAGGCTGCAACAGTGGGCCAAAAGTTTTCTATGAGAAAAACAAAGGTGGTTTGTTTTTGTGCAAATGCTCAAAAGAAAACAGGTAACATGAAGAGCCTTCACTCACAAGAGAAATGGTGCCTTCATTGGAGAGTAGGTAGCACAGGCTGGCGGCCTTCCGCACCAGCTGCTCCTGGCTGATCAGGTTGCCGGGGGCACCTGTGGGTCCTCCTGAGCCCCTCTTATTTAGAACCGCGTAGAGGCTGCAAGCTAGGGACATAAAAGTAAGAATGAAGTCACCCGCATGGGGTCTCCAAGACAAACTTCACCTGGCTCTAATAACTCAGATCTCCTTAAGTGTTAATATATCAAAAACAGTGGCCTGCTTTTACTGGAGAAAATCCCACAGGATTTGATTATTATGATTCTACATGGTCTTAACACTGAAAGACATCCCCAAGGGCTCAGTCGCCTCTGCTCTTTCTCCTCTGCACTCTCTCCATCACATAAGCCCTCCACTCTCTTCACTGCCCTGTGCGTGCCATCTCAATTAGAGCTTTAGCTCCTAGACAGCAAGGCACTTGACTCCCTCCACAGTGATAAGCAAACAGCACACACACAGTGGTTCAGTAAATACCTGCTATGGCCATAACCAGTGACATGGCAGGAGATTTGGAAATTAAAAATATAACAATGCATTTTCTCCAACAAGTGGCTATCATCTAACCAAAGTAGATGCCACTATGTGTTTTAGGCCCTGTACTTTCCAAGAAAATATCTAAAAGCATTCGGGGCCTGACATACCTATGATGGCCTCCATGATGAAGACATGCAGCACCCCGTTACTGTAGAAGTTCAGTTCAAAGACTGATGGCACAGTTGTGCTGGGAGTGATAAAGAATTCATCATTCCTGCTAGTGTGTGTGATTGTAACACAATTTCCCAGGAGCTGTATAGCATGCATGACTACATCTTCTGAATTTCCTGAGAACCCCAGGTCAAAATCACGAGCCAGGACTTCCTCCTTCATCACAAAGAAGTCTTCCACCAATGTGGAGAGATTGATTCCCTACAGACAGAGAAATGATCTCAAGACAGGGAAAATATCCTTTCCAAAAGGCCAAGAGGCCAATATTCCCAGGATTTTCTTCTTGCTTTGGCTTCCCACAGCTTGCTGTTGGGACCTACAGAAAACACCCAGATCACCAATACAGAGCCAGTCAGGAAACTGCTTAAAAAGCTGGTCCTATAGGAATGACATGGTACTCCACATGCCAGAAACCACTCTAGAATGAGTGAGTATGTGAGATCACAAAGGGAAGGAAAAGTTGTCTGAAGGTAAGAAGTTTTCAGTTTTGAGAAAGAATTTCCTTCATTTTAAATATTTGTCTTACAAACATTTATTTGGAGGCTACATACCAGCACCATGCCTGGTGCTGAGAACATGACTGAATGGACCAGTCACGGTCTATCCTATCATAGAGTTAAGACAGGTCTACTGTGGGAAGACAGAGGGTGGGCCCTAACATACAAATCAGATTACTTGGAAATCATTCACTATCAGAAAACATATCACAAGTCAATGAAATATACTTTATTTACATTAACCATCTTAATCAAAGAATATCTACCACTGACCCATATCGCAAACCTTTTTATTTTTTGTTATGAGACAAGAACTCACCCAGCCTGACCTAAAATTAGCAATCCTCCTGCCTTAGCCTCCCAAGGAATAGGGACTATAGGCAAGTGTCCCTGAGCCTGGTCTCAAAGAATATCTTATTACTGCATACATTAAGTAGTCTGACTTTTCTTTTATGTAGATTCTTCCTTTACCATGTTTAGGAACTCCCTTGGAGTGGGTCCCTAACTTATTTTACTGTTTATCTCATAGTACTAGCCAGGAGTGGGCCAAATCTATTCTGAAGATGCCTCTGAACAGCTGATAAAAGCTTCGCAGGCTTTCTACTGAACTGTGGGTGATATCATGGACATACCTGCCTGTGTCTGTAGAGCAGCAGGCAGGCCACAATGTGGGTGGACATGATGGCACAGGATTTGCTAGCAGCTGGAAGGCAAACACAAAAGCTTTAGTTGCACTTTTTTTTTTTTTAATACAGCTAAAACTTTTTAAAAGCACCTTAATTTTAAACAAAGGTATTAAAACTATAAAAGCTCTCTGCCACATTTCCTATAACTGTGATTTACCAAAAGGAAACTGTAGCATTACACCATGCTCTGGTAAAATGGAGCCTCTTTAGAGATCATTATTCATAATGCCACCTAAGACAGGTCCACCTTCAACCTCAGCCAAAAGATTTGGGATACTTATGACCAAGAGATACCCTTATTGAAATACCAAAACCCAGAGTATGAGCCTGTTCTCGAGTTCTATGGGATACCCCCTGTGTATCTCCTGACTTGTCCCTGGCCGCAGTCTTTTAGAATTACATCCCTATTTCACTCTTCTTGCACATACTCACCAAGTTAGAGTGAAGGTATAGAAAAAGGAAAAATTTGGATTTGAAGTCAGAAAAATCTGGGCTCAAATCCTAATTTCTACACTAATTTCATGACTTGGAGAAAATGAAACAGAATTCCTGAGCCTCAGTTGCAAAATATTATCTAGTTCATTGGGCTGTAAAAGAATGAAATGATGGTCTGGCAAGGACTCATGGTAACAGGAGCTCAATGTATCTTCATTTCCTCTTTTCAAACTGGCCCAGAGGAGTCTATTCCTTTTTTTTTTTTTGGCAGGGAATGGGGGTTTTGCGGGGATAGGCTAAACATGGGCGGGGGCAGTGGTGGGGACTGAACCCAGGGTCTTGTACATGCTGAGCCAAATTCTCTACCACTGAGCTATACCCTTGGCCCCTCAACCTGGCCCAGAGATGGGCAGCAAGGGCACAGAAATATATTTGAAAATATCTATAGTATATAACCCAACATTTTGATTTATAGAAAATTATGTGAACATCCATGGAATATTTTGAAATAAAAATATAGTCTGTAAGAAAAAGAATAATGAAGGAATGAGGAGGAATCTCATAAAAATAAAAGGGAGGTCAGTAGAATACAAGAAAGGAACTAGGGGGAGGTAGGAAGGGAGAGAAAGAGGAAATAGTGGGAAATGACACTGGCCAAATTATATTGCTATACTGTGTACATGTATATGTAACAGCAAATTCCACTATTATGTAGAACTTTAATGCACCAATAAAAAATGTGGGAAAAAAAAGAAAATATAATCTAAGTTGTATGACAAATAACAATGAATTCATGAACATGTCACTCACAATTGGTCCCTAGTGTTGACTTTAAAAAGTGTCCAGTACCATATTTACAGTCATTAAAAAGAGTATTTATAAAGAATTCTTTAAAACATGGGGCCGGGGTTGTGGATCAGTGGTAGAGTGCTTGCCTAGCATACGTGAGGCACTGGGTTCCATCCCCAGCACCACATAAAAATAAAACAAATGAAATAAAGGTACTGTGTCTATCTACAACTAAAAAAATATTTTAAAAAAGAATTCTTTAAAACATTAATAAATGTTATAAATGAAAACCAGTATGGTAAAAAATTGTAAATATCTTTAGAGATTAGACAGTAATGCCACTAGTTACTTAAATAGTGGATTTTGCTATCTGTTTCACCTTTACTTTTCAAAAATTAGGATGTATTATTTTTTGCATCCAAATCTCAGGCAAAAGAGACATATAATCAGCTGTGCTTAAGAAAGGATCTTGTGGGCTGGGGATACAGCTCCGTGGTAGAGTGCATGCCTAGCATGTGTGAAGTCCTTTGGTTCCATTCCCCAGCACCAAAGGAAGGTTGGAGGGAAAGAAGAAGGAAGGAAACTCCTCTGGCCCAGAGTCAAGTGGGAAAATGAGCAGCCAGAGCAGAAGGAGCAAGGAGATCCTGCTGGTCTGAGTACCAAGACACCATGGTGCTGACTGAGGACTTTTTTTTTTTCCAGTACTAGAAATTGAACCCAGGGACAGAACTATATTCCCAGACCTTTTTATTTGGAGACAGGGTCTTGCTAAGTTGCTTAGAGCTTGCTAAGTTGCTAAGGCTGGCCTACACTTGTGATCTTCCTACCTCAGCCTCCCGAGTCACTGGGATTACAGGCATGTGCCACTACACTCAGCAGCTGTCTCCGGTTTTTAAAGCAGCCTCTAAAAGAGTACACAATGCTGCAACTTAGAATGTAAGGGAGGCTCATAATACCCAGAGCTCTAATGCTACTCAGTGTCACTATGACTTCAAGTATTTGTATACAACTATTCCACTGAGACAGCAGAAGCTCTTTGAGCACAGAACCATTAATGATTCAATTTGTATTCCATGCAGCTATAGCAAACCTTTATGTGAAATAGCCACTCAATACTTACTGAATAAAAATACCCATGGGATCAGAGAAGAAAAGAATATGCAACTATAAACCTAGATGTTGCATCATAAACTAGTTCAAAAACACATTTATGAGCAAAACAGGCCACAAATCATTTTGACAAAACCTTTTTAAAAAAGCACAAGAAATAAAACATGAGTACCACTGCTTATCAGACACCAAGTCAAATAATTTGTTCACATTCCCTCAAATCCCCCCAATATCACTTTCTTTTCAATAACTTGCCTATCACTACCTGTGAATTAGGCAATTGACCTGGAAGAGGAAACTACAACCTCAGCAGATTCCAAAACCTGTAAGGTTTGCACCGCACTGTGCCAGATCTGAATCACAGATTTAGAGTGTGGAATTCTACTCACTAAATAGAATGTGCTCAGCCAGATTTGCAATCAACCTTCTTCGGAAGAATTCTTCTGCTGCATTCCTGGATTCATTACTGGGTATTTCTACACCTTCATTAGCAGCATCACTAGGTCTGAAAAGATTTTTTTAAATCAGCATTCCACTGCCCCACTCTTTTACAAGGCAAAGAACATAGGACTAATCTATAAATTAAACCTAATTTACATCTAATTTAAATACTTCAAATTACTACACACTTTATATTTAAACCACAAAAAAGAGTATTTTATGAGTTGTTTTCCTCCATAATATACTTAATTATGTTTAGTATCATCTCTTGGACAAAACATGCTATTTAGTTATGACTATAAACAGTTTTTTGGTACATCACTTCCAAAACCCACTGGCAGACAAAGCACAAAAAGCAAAATTTCATGTTTTAAAACATGTCTGAAAACCCAAAATTTTAGCATATTAAAAGAAGGGCTTAATATTCGATTTCTTGAAGCTATAATTAAATTTGAATTCTGTAAAACTCAAATAGCAAAACTCTTTCACATGGTTCATTTATGTACAATATGCACAACCTAAACTACTACCAAGAAGAATTCAGTTCAAATATTCAAAAGCATAAATCAAATAAGAACTTGTACATGATTCACAAAATCAAAAAGATTTCACATGCAAATAAAAGCCTCCAAACTAATGTAAAAACACAATTCAATATTCTTTATCAGATCATGAGAAAAGTTACAATAATCAAGTAAAGAAGCAGCAGTATGTTCTTAATAAAGTTAACATTTTTCTATGTAATGTTAAAAATAATAGTTATTTGGTAGTTAATATAAAAACATTTCCACAAATCTTACCGTGAAGGAAGTATAGCTGGTAACAAGGCTTGCTCCAAAGAAAGTGGAGCAGATACAGGCTTCTGACTTTGGCTTTCTAAATATTCCTTAAAAAAAAAAAAAAAAAGAAAAGAAAGAAAAGAAACCTATCATCAAAACTCTCATTGTCTCACTTTTTTATCAACATATAAAACATTTTGATCCTCAAAGGTAAAAAAAATGTGTCATACTACAGAGCATGGGAATACTTCCTGTACTGAAACTGTCTTTGGAAGTCCAAAATGATTCATAAAGTTATTAAACATATAATCTAAGAACTAAAAATACAAAGGACAGAATGATGCTTAAATAAAATCACTTAAGAACTAAAGGGAAAATGTTAACTTTTTTCAGATAGTCATGGAAATCATTCAACATTTCCAATGAGAAATAGTAATAATAGACTACCATACTTTTTGAAGGAAATCTGGCAACCTGAAGGTCACATAAAATACAAAAGAATCTCAAACAAAAACAAATCATAAGAACAAGCTGTGCTATCATTTAAAAATATAAAAAATAAAGTGGCAAGAAATGACAAGGCCCCTCTGAGCTGAAAGCACTTAAGACCAGAAAGTATGTGGCACAGCATTTAGAATCTTCTAAAGTTGAGCCAAAGTAGTACAAAAGAAGGAGATATATAACACCCCTGCTCCTTGCCCCCGGATTCCTCCCCCATCTCTTTCTTCCTCTATACCAATCTGAAAATCTAAGGAATTTTAAACAGCAAGACCTCAGGGAACTGGCAGTCCCAGACTGTTAATGAAGACAACAGTCCCCTTGAGATAGCTAGGTACTGAATTCCACTCAGCAGCATACAGACTAACTGTCAATTTTTACCCACTGGGAAAGTTTTGTTGTTGTTTTTTTTTTGAAAAATTTGAAAAATTTGAAAACTTTTCCCTAAATGCAATTTTAAACTATAGAATACTGACATATATAGGATTCTCATGAATTAATTTTTTTAAAAAATAGCAACATTGAACCTGTTACCTCCCAAAGACAGACATTCTCCTGTGTCAATAGGCACATTTTGGTGGGAAATTTTAGGAAATGCTACTTTTGTCATATCCTTCCTGCAGGAGAGGAATCAGAGGCCGGGAGTACACAGAGGTGGTGTTAATGCCAGATGAGAGCCCAGACTATCTACCTCTGGGCCAATGCTTTCACACTCCACAGACTCTCACCTTTAAGGAAAATGGTTGTGCAAAGTCCACTCTCACATATCCGTAGTTTTTTCGTAACATTCTAATAACACCTCTTGCTACGCTCCAAAGGCTCTCGTTTTTCTTAGGTTTGCCCTAAATTCCAGTGGTGAAAAGATAACATGGTGAGAAGTAAAGCTAACAAATTGTTTTCCAAAGAATAATTCTGTATAGATACTAGAGATTCATCTTGAAAGAGAAAACAATAATAAAGAAAAATAAGTTATTACCTGAGACCTGTCAGAAAGTGTTTAGTATTCAAAGATACCAAGAGAAGTAGGCGCATCGCTGGGAGAGGAAAACATTTCATACTAGTTCATTTAATATAACGTTCACATCCTTCACAAAAAATACAGCTGCAAATTGGTGAAGGATAAAATTATATAATACCCTGAAAACTACTCAAGTTCACAGGTAAAGATAAGAGGTCAAAGAGGCCACTTAAGAGTAGTCTACCAAATCCCAGAGTCTGAATACCTAACTTAAGGTAACTAAATGCCAGTCAGCCTCACAGTGGCCTTTGAGCTGATTATTCACCTAGGCAGCACCTCCTGAGCATTTATTTGACATCAGGCAAGAGTGAGACTGACAGCATAAGAAGAAAGCTGTCAGATAACAATCCAGGTCTATTGCTTAATTTTTAAAGTCTGCAACTGTCAAGTGTCCTTAAACTTGTGACATACTTGAAGCAGTGAATGCAGAAAGTATTTTACCCAAGGCTTCCACACTAAATAAGACCAAGACTATTCTCCTCCAGCACTCTCACACTGCCAACAGGAGGGTATGTTGGTAAAACCATCAAGGCAAACTGTTTGGCAGTACTAAAAATGAACACACACGTACTTTATAGCCTACCAGTTCCACCTCTAACATATACTACACAAAATAAATACCTATGGTTGCCAAGAGAATTGTGTAAGAATGATGGCATGAATAGATAAATTATGGTTTATTCATACACTGGGACACTACAGAGCTAGAGCTATGAGAACAAATCAACTATGTGCAGCAACTTGGATGAATCACTTGAGTAAGGAAACCAGATGTAAAAAGAACACATACTGTATTATCCCATTTATACGAAACTCATTAATGGAAAAAAACTATCTATTCTGTAAGAAATCAGGTAAGTAGTTATTCTTGAGGGGCTAATGATAAGAAAAGCACAGGGTGACTTCTGGGGTCCCGATAATGTTATTCCTTCATCTGGGTGCTGTTATTAGTTGTATTCACTTTGTGATAATTCAATCTACATGGTTATGTTTTGTGCACTCTTTGGTAACTACTATACTTCAATAAAAAGTTTACAGAAAAAGCCTGCTGCCATTTCACAAATTAACTTGTAGTTGTTTTGCCAATATGATCCCACCAATTCTTCAGGCATAACTAAATCTGCAAATAAACGGCAGGCCCTTGGGGAGAGCAAACCACAGATAAGCCACCAATTGAGATGACAAGCCAGTGGCAAGTGCTCTTCTATTTTCCAGCCCAATGACCAAAGCCATCACTGAAAAACCTGGTCATTGGGCTGGGGTTGTGGCTCAGTGGTAGAGCACTTGCCTAGCAAGTCCGAGGCCCTGGGTTCCATCCTCAGCACCACATAAAAATAAATAAAATAAAGGTATCATGTCCAACTATAATTAAAAAATTACAAATTAAAAAACAAAACAAAACACCCTGGTCATGCCATTTCCTCCAAGTGCAGAATGACACCATGTGAGCACTGCCCCACAGTGACACAGTGGATGAGGGCTACTCAGCATGCCTCCAACCATGTTTCACTGTGTTCTAAAGTCAGGGAATACCTAACAGCAAATCTAAATGCTGATGTTTAAATCTATAAGCAAGCCTTGAAAAGTGATGGTAACTTTTGTATAGGCAGACCCCTTACCAGCTGTTCGCCATTGTAGTGACCTTCAATGATCCGATCATAGGAGATTCCCACAGGTATGATCAAGATGTCCGGGATGGTATTGGTAGACAGGGTATCAACCACCACTGACAAGAGTCCTGCCCGAGCACAGGAGGTCTTCCCGCTCCTTGAGCGTGTGCCCTCTAAGAAAATCTCCAAGAACTGCTGCTGCCGAAGTAGTTCCACTATGTGCTGAAATATAAAGAGAAAGCAAAGCATGAGTTCAAAACCACTCAACTGAGACTCAGATAAGAAAAACTAACCTTAAGAATATAGAAAAAACTATCTTTTCACTACTAACAAAATATTTTACCCACACCAAGAATAGCAAAGCACCATTGCCAACACTGTATTTTGATGATTAGACTCATCAGACTCATACCTAGGTAATAATCAAATTATTCAGAGAACAGTTTTTTAAAATCTCAGCTCCATCAATCTCTTCTTCCTTTCACTGTGAAAGCGGGCATGATGGCTTAAGGATAATTACAGATCATACTGACCCCATGCAACAAAGCTCTGTAGAGAATATCTTTCCGTCCATCTGGTGTTTCATCCAACCTCCGTCGTATGAAAAAGCCCCCAAGTTTGTGGATCAAGGTACTATAAATTCAAGAGTGCATGAATTATTTATAAGAAAAACTATAAAAAGAATACTCCAATTCCAAGTTTCTTCAAAACTTTTGCAATCTGATGTAAGCCACATATGCGGTGACCAGGCAGATAAAGGCAGTCTTTCACCTTCCGCATCACTGACACACTTCATCATTCACAAGATTCCCCAGCCTGCAGACAACCGCTGCATGTGATGAAGGTCTATTACATTGGTTACAAACCAAAAGGAACTTCATGATATACTGCTTTGCAAAGGTGATGGCACAGATTATAAAAGGATTATAGGATACTTCTAAATTTTAAAACTCTGTCCAGGGTCTCAAGACATACTGAAATTTGTCCATGGCAAATTTATAAAAATTCACAAAATGAACATAGTCCCTCAGGGAAAATGTTCTCAAGTAATTGTTGCTTAAACAGGTTCCCTTGATACAAGGATAATTTTATTAAACTGAACTGAGTATAATCACCTTTATAAAACATGAAACAAAAATTGACTTTATTTACACATACGCAGGAATAAAACAATTCTGTTCACAGCCCCATGTCTCTTTCTACAAATAGATGAATTTTTGACATAAAGTTGAAATTTTCTAAGTCATCTTTCCCGAACTCAAAGCCTCTTCCTATTCTTTTCAAATACTACAATGCTACTATAAAAGAACCATTAATGTCTATATTAATCTAAACAGAGTGACACTATATTAAGTGCTATTTGTATTTGTGTTATCCTCCACAGTTAGTATGAGAAGGCCAAGGTAAAATGTTGCCAAAGCTTAGTATCACTCTTATTTTATTTTTTAAACATTTTTTTAGTTGTTGATGGCCTTTATTTTTATTTATTTATATGCCAAGGATAGAACTCAGTGCCTCACACATGCTAGGTAAACACTCTACCCCTGAGCTATAACTCCAGCCCTAGTATCACTTGTTGAAATTAAAACTTTGCAAAATAAATTCAAAATGAATGAGATGAGCCAGTCACAAAAATACTGCACCCTGAGAAGTGTAGACAAGAATGCAACAAAAGCAAGCTGCACATAAACAGACTGGGCTATGTGTGAAGGAAGGGTGGGCAAGGCAATGACTGGCATCAAATTTGTGAACAGGAAGGTTCATTTATGAGAAATTATAAGTATTTATTAAGCACTTCTCAAGATCCTAGCTGAGAATCAGACACAACGGGAATCAGCATGTGAGCTATTCTGATTACAAGAGGCAAGGCTTCTCTAGAGGCCCGGTGGAATAATCCTCTTCACTCTGAAACTGCCTTCTGGCACCTCTGATGACTTTCTAAGTCCCTTTCCCAGGGTCTCTGATACTGGGACTCAAGTGCTCTGGAGAGTCAAAACAGGTATTCTAATCCTTAGAAACCATATCTGCCCTTTAGGGTCCTCTCCCACTGTATTATAATATAATATTACCACGTTATTGCATGGTAATGATGTGTGACTTACTCACTTTTTGCCCAAAGTACAGCTGGATAAATACCGTTAGTGAATGGTTCCTCTTCTGCTGATCACACAGCCACTGCCATGACTTAGATATTAAATTCCCCCAAATGCTCAAGTTAAAGCCTCACTCCCCGTGTGACAGCACTCTAGGGATGTGGGGTTTGGTTGTAGAAAGCGAGTCCTGGGGACTATGCCCTCAAAGGCTTTATTATGTCCCCAGATTCTTCCTCCCTCTCTCTTGCTTTCTGGCTGCCATGAGGTAAGCAGCTCTCCTCCATCACACCTTCACACCCTGCGGTACTCCCTCACCACAAGCCCAGACACAATGGAGCCAAGTATTTCAGAATATTTCGTCACATCAATGGAAACTGACAAGCTACAGAACTCAAAACCTATAGAACACTGAGCCATGGGATTAGAAAGGAGCTCCTTGACATGGGGCTGAGGTCCAGAATTCACAGCACACAAAGGTAATGAATGCCACCCAGGAGGCTCTACCTGCAAAACCTGCCAGCCAACTTCTCGTCCAGTCTCTCTATAAATTTATACTCCTCTTACCTACCCTCTTCTCACAGAGGTGACCTTACTTTGTTTAAAGTTTAAAAGTTCAGTTTCTCAAACTAGCTCAACCAACTCCTCACCAATTCCTCATGGGTGTTCAGACCCACTATCTTTCCAGTTTCCTAGGTGGAAAACACCCAGAAATCTCCCCTACCAGCTTCTTCCCCTCTACTGAGCCCCAAATCTGAACCATCATTGAGTCTTGTAAATTCAAGTTACTAAGTACTCTGTAAATCTATGCCCTCCATTTCAAGAGCACTCCTACACTTTCAAGCCCTCATTACATTTTGCCCAAATTGTTATAACAGAATCAGAATTGATCTAACTTCTTCTCCTTCAGAATGATCTTTCAAAATGAAATCTGAACATGTCATTTCCAAGGCTCATAGTGGACTCTTGACTCTTGCCTTGGAACTCGTGTGGATCTAGCTCTCACTGCCTATGCAGCTACAAGCTCCAGCCTGACCCTTCCACAGGCATCCTATATTCATACCTCCCCTAATGGTCCATGACCTCTCCACCACACCAGGCTCTTGACTCTCTCTGTCTTTGCACAGCAGTTTCCTCTGAATGGATACACTTCATTTTCCTGAAAACCTCTAAAAAACACCTTTCATGTTGTATTGTTCCTTCTACATGTTTTTTGCTCTGTAAGGTCAAAGTCTCAGGTATGATTATTCTCATTTACCTTTATACCACCACTTCACCTCCCTACTGCCAAGCCTGGGATAGTTGTCTACTATCTTACCTTTCTAACTGCCTTTTATTTACTTGATAAATATTGCCTGTCAAATTGAAGTATTCACAGTTCATCCATAAAAAATACATAAACCATGGTGATGGTCATAATGCTTTTTTGCACTACCCAAATTCTACACAATAAGCAAGTACTACTTTTTATACTAATAAAAGGAAAAAGGCTAATATCATCTTAAGAGGCATCAAAAGGTACACACACATACACACACACACACACCAAAAAAAAAAAAAACAACCAAAAATTCAAAACACGATCTTTTGAATAACTTAAATTTCAAATTAAGCTGAACTTACCTGAAGATTGGGATGTTAAGATTATTGCCTGAAGCAATGTATGGCGCTTTGATGTTATGGCAGAAGAGAATGAAAGTGAGCAGCAGATAGTCAATATGGGATCTATGGACTGGTAGAAATATAAGCGGCAAATTCGTCTAATAGAAAAAAAAATGTCAAATTTAAAATTGAAATGTAAATTCAATTACAATTTGCAACTGCATATTTGGTTAGAGGCACTCAAACACTGGCTAATCAGTGACTCATTCTTTAAAAATATTTTCCAAGAACGTGAACTTCTTTCAAGTTAATACTGACTTACTAAATAGAAGAAAAACTATAACAACAGAATGAGCTAGGGGAAGGAGAGGCATAATCAAGAATTCAACTTGAACCTCTGAGAGGCAGGCCTAAGCATGTAAAAAGAATATAAGTTTTTGGAGTTAGGCTTGGTTTGAAATCCTAAACTAAATCCCTTACTATCTGTGATTTCTTTCTATGCCTCTATTTCCTTATTATAAAATAGGGATTGTTCCACTTGACTCTTAGGTTTTGCAAGGTAATTTACAAAAGGAAACCTACGTACGCTGGTAGGTCTTCCTTTACCCCACATCCACCAAGATACACAGCCACTGCAGTTTTCACAAAAGGGAAACCTTCCAACTGGGTTGAATTGCATGATACTATACCAGAGAGTATTTCCCAAAGAACTCTAAAGTCACAACCTATAAACAAGAGGAAAATAGAATAACAGATTCACAGAAATTCTTGCCTCAGCTGCAGCTTTAACCATCTCAAGTTGACCCTTGTGAATTTGAATGTTCCAAAAGAAGCTATTGAACAGCTTTAGCAGCACCCACCCAGTAAGTCTGAAAGAAAGAACAAAAAGGTAAATCTATAGGCATACATTTACCTATACATATAAATATGATTTATATGTCAGCTATAATTATAGGTGACATTTTTCAACTTTGGTTTCTGAACTACAACCTTTTATATGAGTACTTGTAAATGGCTTTGTGTGTACATGTGCACACCTATGTATCTGAATTGCAGAACTAGTGAGCTAACTTTAAATACATATTACTGAAAGAAGTAATTTATTTATTATGAATAAAAATCATATTTCACTCTAATAACACTGCATACTTTAAAGGTAAATAAACAAGCTAATATATAATGAGCAGAATGGTCCCTCTAACACACACAAACCTCTCCCTTGAGACATGCATGTGAGACTTGACTCATAACCAGTCGAGGACAACAGGTATCAGAAATACTGCAATGGCTGCTCTCAGTTAGCAGAGTTTAAGACACCCTGGAGCCTACCATAGTGCTACTTCCCACAGAAGCTGAATAAGAATATAAAAAAGAATTGGACTTAACATTAAAATACATTAAAATATCTTCTCAGGCTGGGGTTGTGGCTTAGCGGTAGAGCACTTGCCTAGCACATGTGAGGCCCTGGGTTTGATCCTCAGCACCACATAAAAATAAATAAATAAAATAAAGGTATTGTGTCCAACTACAACTAAAAAATAAACATTAAAAAAATATATTAAAATATCTTGTGCTCAATCAGCACTATACTAGGATAGGAGAATCCAATGGTTCAGTTCTATTCACTCAAACAGGCTAGCTCCGGGTAAAAGTTTGTGCCTCCACTGTTAATACCTGATCATCCCAGGTGAGACAGTGGCAACCATTTCTTGAAGGATCTTCTTGGCTTTCTTTTTCACTTTATGGATGGCTTTGGTCTGCTGCTGAGCAGAACCATCAGGGTTTAATTCAGCAGCCACTTCAGCAATGGTCTCTTGTACTCTGATTTGAAAATGGAAAGACAGACAATATAACTGGTATCATATTACATTTCACTGCCTATTCCATATTGCCTAAACTACAGCGATGAATCACAAAACCTGAGGTAACAAGAAAGAATAAGCTGAAGTTAGAATATGCTCAAGTTAAAAATAAAGGATATTATATTCCTAAATCAATGAGACTTTAAGAATTCACTGGGTAACAACTGTACATTTTCATGTTCCAGTTTTGGTATGAGGGACAAAAGTAACACTCTAGCAAAAAAAAAAAAGAGAGAGAGAGAGAGAGAATAAGGAATATTTTCCTTGTAGGTATATAATTCAGACGTACACATACACACACACACACACACAAATTGCCAAAGTAATGTGCAATTTTTCTTTCAAAAATCCTAATTTACTATTGACTTATATTAGTACCCCATTAATAGAACCATATGTAAAACTCTCTAGGAAGTACAAAGAAAAAGACAAATATTTATAAATTTTTTTCAAATCAATCTGATAATTTTTAAAAGGAGTAGGTCAAGATCAACATAGCACTGAGCAATAAAAAAATGAGGTGAAAGGAAAAGTTTAATCCAGTTTTATAAATCCTTCACATGATTAGGAAAGAAACATGAGGTTAACCCTCCTTAAACCATTTCTAATATCCCAGTTACTAATTAAAACAAATGGAATGAAACAAACTTGAAGTTTTTAACTAGAAAATATACAATAATCCAACAGAGATTCAAATACTTGTGTTTTCTCTTACCGTTGCTATTGAGTTAAGACTAATGGAGTATGGAAAAATTCCAAATGGTCTCATAGTTCATTAATATGAAAAGATTCTAAGGACCCAACACATCCAGTCTATTCCTTAAATAGCATCTTTTACATCTGGCCAGGAATGTCTTCACAAGTTTTTAATGTGTTTATTATATCACCGTTATCAACCACTTGCTCATACAACCAATAAATATTTCTTGAGTACTTACTACATGCCAACACGGCTGAGGTTTTAATAATCACACCACAGGGCCCATGAATGGCCCTTGGGAATTCTAAGCAGCCTTTCAACCCACCCCATTTCCTTCTCCCCAAATCCAACTGGATCTCTACAATGGGCCACCCCAATGAGTTGGAACAGCCTAACCTTCTCCCATATTCTAGAACATGTACTTCCCCTGATGGGGCTCAGAAAATCATATGCCGAAGTATGGTTTTGGTACGCTGAGTAATTAAAATCAATCAGAAGCCCCTGAAAGATGTTTTAGGACCAAGTACTTCCTAATTTTTGTTTCTTTCTTGATCCAATTATAGGGAGGGGTTCTCTAGAATTCCCTTATTTGACTGAAGAAACTTCTAGATTTGATGTTAGCCAAAAGGCCAAGAAGTGCTAAGAAATTTTTTTCCAAAAGAAATGCAATGGTCTTTAAACCTCCCCAACAATCTCACTGAATAATCAGGGAAGATAAGCCACCAGAGGAGACTGGGAGTCCTCACCATGTCCAGACAGACTTTTGATCCATTCTTAGGGTAGCTCCCACAGGTTATCTATGTGTCTTGCTATATGCATAAGACACTGTTTCCAGTGAAGTTCTGCCCTGCACCTAACTTCCCAGAGACCAGAGGCAGTTTGTCCCAAGCTACTGACTATTCTCTAGACATACTAACAATCCCCTAAATGTCATTTATTATACTCAAAATTGCCACATCCCCCTTTCTCTCCCCATGAAGATCTCAATCTCGCTGGGTCATTGGGTAATTACCCTCCTGTGATGTCCAATATACATTAATAAACCCACATGCCTTTTTCTCCTGTTAGTCTATTGTCAGTCTGTTTCAGGAAGCCTTTGGAATAGAGGGAAAAATCTGCCCTGCCCCTCCTCCCTATTCACTCTGGGTCTAAGGCAGCCTCCCCTATTTACAAGCTCCTCTGAGAGCAAAAACTCCTCTTAAGTTTTTTTCTTTTTTTAGTTGTTGATGGATCTTTATTTAATTTAGTTGGTTATTTACATGTGGTGCTGAGAATCAAACCCCTTTCCTCACATGTGCTAGGCAAAGCACTCTACCACTGAGCTCCAGCTCCAGCCCCTTTCTTAAGATTCCTGCCAATGACTTTCCATTTCAATAATTCACACCCATGTACTCAATAACTGTTTGACAAAAATATCAAACTCACTTCTCTTTGGACTATAAAACAAGGTCCCTGGCATTCATATTACAGAAAATGAGTCCTGGAAACATTGGCACCTCTGAACCCCATAAGTCAACCACATCAGTGACTCATGATCTGCCTTGCATGTAATAGAAACTCATTAAGTATTAATCCCTAAAACTGGACTGCTCTTCCTCCATGGCACCGTTCACCAAAGCCATCCATTCTCCCATCTGTCCTCAGTTTCCTTAACATTTAAAGTTTGAAAACACAAACACTTCTCAAGACAAAGTCCCAGAGAAATCAAGGGTTACTGAAGGGACCTACCTCCCCATTCTCATTCCAACAAACACCCCTGCCTCTCCCCACCTTGACAACAGTGTCCCCACCCTCACCTGCTGCTATTCAGTACGTTTTCAGCCACATTGGTGGCAAACATGCCCTTATGGACATCCCGTTCTTGAACAAAAAGGACATAAGAAAGACGTCTGGCAAGCCATCCTCGGTGCCTGCAATGCAAAAACCATTTAGAAGAAAAGTACTCCAGAAGTTTTTTTCTCCTATTAAAAACAAAGCCTAATGTCCCCTATTCCAGAGTTAAGGTTCTCCTGTAACAAATTTTCCTTAGCGTTAATGCTTGAATAGTCTTACTTTGCTGAAGATAATTCTAATATTAAAACAAAAGAAAATTTGACTTTATTAATACCAATAAATGGCAAATACATTGAATGTAATATATGTAAGCTACTAAGCAGGTAATCTACATAGCTTATAGTTTTATCTATTGGCTATGAAAAGAAAAATTTGGAAGTTTTTTCTTTTTAATTATTATAATACTTTTTCTAAGAAAATCACTGACTCTCAAACTGAATTAACAAAGCTGATAGGATGAGAGACGTCAAGCATAACTAACATAGACATTAATATTTGTACTCATATTCTACATGCCCAAGAAACAGGGCACATTTTGGTCAGTGACAGTAACTACGAGGTATTTAGATGAGGTGAATAGAGATGAAGGGATGGGGACACGATTTTCAGAATAAGCATTATGCATGTCTTCACCATGTAACGATTTGAAACTATTTTTTTTCTGATCATACAATGCTGCATTATCATTTCCTCCATAGTGATATATACAAAAGAATTCAAATAAGAATTCATTATACTATAAAGAACCAAAAGCCCTCACTTGAGGAAAAATAATTAGGAAGAAAAGTGTTTATCAATCACTGTTTCTTCTCTTCTTCATGCCTCTTTTTCTTTTTTTTTTTTAACTTTGTCTCAATCTTGTGAAAATGTAGCCCAGTACTTTTAGTGTTCATTCTGAAGTCTTCTTTCAGTAAGCATTTTCAGAATTATTACTAGAATATAGAGTCTCAATGAATTTCCTTTTCAACTGACTAGAAATACTATATGTGAGTAAGCAAGTACATATATGTAGGTGTGCATAAATGCATATGTATGTGTAAAGACAGTTACATTTTGCTTCATATAACACTAACTAAAAATCTATACAGGCAGCTTATTACACTGAATAGTTTCGTATTGCCAAATCAATATAGCCAATACTCTTTTCCTAACTTGCTTCCAACTGAGGGCAATAAACAAACCTTTTGAATTTATATGTACAAAGTCTATTTACATCAAGAAGAAAATAATATGCTCCTTATCTCAGGATCTTAACCCAGAAAAAAATGCTTCGATGGTCCAGAGTCCACCCTCTTTCCTATAAATATAAATTAAACAGAGAGAAAACAGTAGCTCTGAATGGGAAAAATACATGTGTGAACTATGACTTTAGTTCTATTTAAAAAAAAAAAAAAGCTTTAATATATATGCAGGTATTACCATTCTCATGTATGAGCTTATCATCTAATTATGAATAGTAATATCAGAAAGGCTTCAAAAGTAAATATTTGACTTCTTGCATTAATTTTTTATAGAATTTCAACATTTTTCATCAGCTGAGTCTACTTATCTACTTCAGTGGCTACTCTTAGAATTGCAAGGAGCGCTAGTTTTGTTTGGCTATTCCATCTCTTGCCTTATAGACATTTACTAACCTTCCAACTCTTCTTTCTTATCCTATAACCTGGATTCATAGAAAACAAATATCTTTTTCTCTCTCTCTGGCACTTAGTAGCCTGTGTTCATGTACCTAGAATTTGAAATGTCCTAGGTAAATAAATCAAAGAAGATTTACTCAATAGAGAAAAGTATCTTCTAATACTCTACAGACTGACATATTTTAATAATTTATACTTTTTTGAAGTATTACATGGTGACAATAGCTAAGACAGTCAACCTATACCTCTTCCCAAATATTTCTCACATTTTGGCACACTTCATATGCAAAAATTAGTATACTAATAAGTTAAAGAACACTAGAAGAGATAACCACACACCCAGCAACTCAGGAAGCTGAGGAAGGAGGATTCCAAGTTCAAATCCAGCCTCAGCAATTTAGCAAGACCTTCTGCAACTTAATGAGACCCTGCCTCTAAATAAAAAGGGCTGGAGATAAATCTCCATGGTAAAGCACAAATGAGTTCAATCTCCGGTACCAAAAAACAAACAAACAAACAAAAATAAACAATAACAAAAAAAAATTTCATGTTCAATTCACTCTTTAAAATATAAATTCACCTAAAAGTATGTTAATGTATATTATGGAGTTTTTCTTTTGAGATTCATTAGCAGTATAAGAGAATTCTGTTTACCTTGTGTGAGTTTCATTGATATAAATAACATTCCGTAGACCCAAAGATGGAATACTGGGGTTGAAAAATTTTTCCTGTATAAAACAAAATAAATGTGGTCATAAATACACAACTGTACTGACAGTGAAAAGCTCACAGTACCAGTTCTTAATGAACTTTAAAATTCAAGTATAAAATTAGGTACTGCTTCAAAGGAGAAAATGTGCTTTATTGAAAAGTACTCTAGCCTTCAAAGAAAGTCAAGTTAAATATTTATTTTTAACACTTTAAACCAAAGGAAATAGTGCCTCTTTCCTACCTATACCATTCCTCACCTCCATCCAAAAAAAAAAAAGAGCTAGTTACAGATAGTATAAGTCACTCATAGGGAAGTCAGGGATTTCACTGTTCCCAAAATACAAAAGAACCATGCTAAGTACCAAGCAGGAATCGTTAGATTACTAAATCTCCCAAAACATAACAATTATTACCCCCCTTCTATAAGTTAGAAAATTAAGACTGGTGGGAGGTTAGGATTTCATCTTAGATCTTGAAAACTATGGTCCCCTAAAATGACAGTCACTTATGAGAAAATGCACATCTACAGGTCACCCTCTGTACAGGTGCTCCTGAAAAATAATCCAAAGACAGCTCCGTTGAAAAGATAAAGTCTGTATCTTTACCAATGTGAGTAAAAAGGTAAATATGCCACAAATAAATGCTAAAACAACATGGCATACACTCAACCAAATATGTAAAAAATGTTTAAGTCAAACCTCTTTAAAGAAAAGGAAAACAAGGGCCCGGTGAGGTGATGCACACCTGTAATCCCAGTGGCTCAGGAGGCTGAGACAGAAGGATCACTAGTTCAAAGCCAGCCTCAGCAACAACAAGACACTAAGCAACTCAGTAAGACCCTGTCTCTAAATGAAATACAAAATAGGGATGGGGATGTGTCTCAGTGATCAAGTGCCCCTGAGTTCAATCCCCAGGACCACAAAAAAAAAGAAAAAAGAAAAACAGAATTTCCTTTTATAGCAAATATTTAAAAGTTAATAAAAATATAAACTAGAATATAAAAGTTTTCAAACAAATTTTTATTTTAAATAAATATGGTAATGAATCCAAGATCAAGTTCAGCTTCATCAGTTCAGCAAAAATTGATTACCTATATATTCTTTCCATCTACTCACTCTACACCATCATTAACCACCAAGTAGTTTATTATACTCTATTCTGACTTAAGAACACACTGCAAATTATAGTTAAGGTATTGTTTTGGTCCAATATTGTAGTTAAGGTATTATTTTGAATAAGCATTCAAAATTAGATTTAGATGAGATTCCAGCTCTCAAAAGAAAATACACATGACCTTCTCTTTAAATCTTTATTTCTACTATCCTATGAATCTGAACTGGTCTGTCTTCTAGACTGGAAATTTCCATGAGCCTTTAATTCTACCAAAATCTTGCAATAAGGCACTTGGTTGAGAAGCAGCAATATTTATAAGGAGATATTCTTGAGCAGACCTGAACATTTAATGTGAACTGCTTGAACCCACACAAATCACTCCAGTGTTAGTAAATCCCTTTATACCAGACTCAGGATTCTAATTTGTGCCAAGCCAACCCTGAGAAGAAAATTCACACAGCACAGTTAGCTATTCACACAGGTTATAAGCAACCTCTATAAATGGCAGGAACTTAAGTGGCAGGGAGAGCTTACCATCCAGATACACCTTCTAAAAGGTGACTCTACTGTCTTAGTGCACAGTAACATGAGACCTACATTCCCAGGCTAGCTCACCCTTCTACCTTTCACCCAGTCCCCACTTCTAAAATACTATACTAGAACGTGAAAGGTATTGCCTGGCTTACATTTTTTTTTTTCCACTAAAATACAAAAAAACAAAGCCAAGCACACTCTTTCTTGAATCTTCATCCTAACATTTTAGTGACTGCATGTATCATAAATCCAACATACAGATCTCAGAAACAGAAATTTAGCCAAGGCCAGGAGCAAAGCCACAGCTTCAACTTCTGATTCTGTCCCATTATGTCACTCCCATCTTGCTACAATTTTAATGTTGTCATAAAGTTCAATAACTGGAATGTAGTATATCAATGCTCCTACCAACAACCTGGAAGAGTCCAAGTAAGATCTAGATTTCCTCCTAAAATTATATTAAAATGTCAAAAGAACAAGAATAGTGACTAGATTAACTATAGGACCAATATTTATTAAATAGTGAAAGAAAAATTAAGTCAACTTCTTTAGATATAATATTTTGTTAATAAACATGGATCTCAATACTCAAAATGAGTTAAGCCCATTAAAACCGAACAATAAAAATTCACACAAAGTTGGACATCTGTCACAAATTTCACTCTATTTATTAAAGACCAACAAGCAGGAATGTACTTACCCAGCTCTGGGGAGTGCAAGAATAACAACATCTTCCAACAAAGGGTCTTTTCCGGCTCATTAAGCTTTCTTTCCATTTTAAGGTTGCGGATCTGAAGACGGTAGGTCTAAAGCCACACTCACCCTAATAAATATTAAGGAAAAATAGAGTCTAAATGGCAAGAGAACTATACTTGTCTACTTGATCTCTAAAACAAAGATATTTCCATGAGAACAGAAAATTATGACATATTCTCTCTTGGTAGTATAATTATGTGTCTTATGTAGTGATTTTTCATTTATGGTTTTCCCTTTAAGGATTAACACTTGGAAGAAAGCTTGCCACATAAACAAAAGTTGATTACTTAAGAACAGTAACAGCTGCTAACAATCATTGCATATTCAATGCAGCATCTAAAATTTTAAAACTATAGGGGTCCATCAATGGATGAATTAATAAAGAAAATATGAAATACACTCTCTCTCAAAAAAAAAAATATATATATATATGAATATATGAATATTATGCAGCCATTACAAAGAATGAAATTCTGTCACTTTCAGCAACCTGGATAAGCCTAGAGGACATTGTGTTAAGTGAAATGAGCCAGGCATAAAAAGACAAATACTGCATGTTCTCACTTATATGTGCAAGCTAAAAGAGCTAATCTCAAAGAAGCAGAGAGTACAGAGTGGTTACCAGGATGGAAAGGCTGGGGCAGGGGACAGTAAAGAAAAACTGATTAATAGGTACCTGTGTGTTGAAATAGTACACTGCATCCCATGAACATGCATAATTACTGTCACTTAAAAATTAAAAATTATAACTAACATCACTAATAAAAAATTTAAATAATGTAGATCAAAAAAACCAAAGTTGTAGAAGGTCAAAGGGACTCTGGCCAGGCTTCGCAGTGGACATGTGTAATCCCAACGTCTCATGAGGCTAAGGTACAGGATTGCAAGTTTGTGGTCAGCCTGGGGAAACTTTGCAAGATCCCAAAACAAAAACTAAAAAGGACTGGGGATATAGCTCCGTGGCAGAATACCCCTGGGTTCAAACCCCAGTACAAAAAAAAAGGGGGGGGGGGGACTTTTGACAACAGGATAAACAAATCAGACTCCTGGATCCCTATGCTGGCAATCCACATTCCTCCCACAATAAAACCTCAGGCCTGACATAGCAAACAAGTTGTTTTATGGTTTAGAATGTTTCATTTTAAATGGAAAACTTAAAAACACTTAATTATCTATCAAGAGAGTTTAATGCCTGATATTTAAATGATAGCTACATGTCTCAATTAGGGTCAAACCCTACTCTACTATTAAACTTTTTCTCTTTGAGTTCATTATTTACTCAAATCTCACTGCATAATTTTTTTTATTTTTTATTTTTATTTTTTGCTACTGGTGATTGAACCCAACCTACATCCCCAGCCCCCATTTTTTTTATTTTGAGACAGTGTCCTGATAAATAGCTGAGGTAGACCTCAAACTTGGAATCCTCCTGCCTCAGTCTCCCAAATACCTGGGATTATAGGCATCTACCACCATGTACATTTTCACTGTATAACATTCTTAAAAATAACTCAAAGAAAAACATCTTTTTATAAGGCAGATACTGTTTGAAATTATATTTAAAATATGCCATGTTATGTTAAAATAGAGAAAATAATAAAAGAATATGTAGGCTTTTTAGACTGGGTTTATACAATCTCCTATCTTTAATTTTTTAAATGTACTTCTGTTATAATATTTGTGCTTATTACATACAACTTATGGAAAGTAGATACCAAGAGAAGGAAAACAAAATCCTTTTAATTACACTACCCAAAATAACTACTAGGATCTTCCCTAGGCAAATGTTTTGCTTTTTAATATAATCAATGTATTTCAACTATTAAATTTTTTCTTTCATAATACCATAAAAAATGTTAAGTATTACTACACTTTGTAAACACAAATTCTAATAATTAGTTTCTGTAGTCATTAGTCTCTATTTTTATATTTTGTTGCTGTCAATGTTTCTTTATTCATAAACAATACTGAAATGAGAATTCTTAGGTTGAATGCATTTATCTCTTTTCTTAAACTTACCAATTCCTCACTTGTGTGTTTGCAACGACCAAGGCTGTATTCTGATGAATTTGGCAGATAAGAAACATCTATTGTGCCAAGGCTCAATGCAGATTCATCCATGTCATAAAGTGTAGCTCCCAAATCATGTGCTAGAAAAATATACACCTTTTTAAAGAGGAATCTAGAAAATAAATACAAGAACTCAAAACTGACTTCTACATTATTTTGTTCCATAAAAGGGTATCCAATGAACTGGTGGGCTTCTTTGCTGAGTCAGGGTAAAAATTGCCCTTGATGTGTTTATATTTTCAGGCTGTCCTGACTGTTGCAGCAGGGAAGGATGGGGCATGGATCAACAATTGTATCCTAAGACTTCCTGAATACTGAATACACAGACTTTCTGAAAAGAACAGTTATGAACAGTTACTTGCAAGGGTAAATAAGAACTTACTACAAGTATGCAACAAATAATTATTTCATTTTATTTAATAATTGAATGGTTCCTGGGAGAACAAAGGCATGAGTTAGTTTTAATTAAACTTGTTACATGTATGCACACAAGATTTTTTAAAACTATAAGCTGGGAATTCTTACTCACACCTACCATGTAATGTAAAATGGATAAAGGCAATTATAGCACTTTTTAAGTTTCCCACTTAAACTAAAGTGAGCTTCTTAATTAAGAAGTGAGCGTCTTAATTTCTTATGATGCTTTAAAATAAATGTTTCCACTTTTAATACATTTACAAAGCTGTAAAGGAAAGACACCATTTAGGAATATCCAAATTATAAGTCTTCATCCTTTTCAACAAGGCTTTTCCTATCCTAAGGGAAAACATTCACTAATATTAACGTAAAATATAAAATTTTTCTAACTTAATATCTATTCCCTATTTCAGCTTTTAGCTACTCTCATCTGGCCTTAGAGGATTCCCCCCAAAATCCTGAAAGATCACCTCCAGATAACAATATTCTTTAGAAGACATATTCTGATTTCTTTACAACTCACATATATATTTGCTACAATTAGTATTATCCTCAAAATAACTACACATGCCCTTAACAATATAATGTATGGAACTATCTAAGGTAACAGGCCAGGGGAGAGAATAGTAAAGCAATGCACCTGGGATGAAAAATTCTTCTGTGATACAAAAGAAAAATTCAGCACTCAGCTATCAGTTTCCTCTGCAGAATGTCCACACAACCAGAGAACAAGCAGCTGCCTGAGAAAAGAAGTGATCAGGAGATGAGGAGAGGAAAAAGACTAGTGCTAATATGAAGTCCATGCTATGTTCCTCCTCCCTCCCCACTGGGTTTACCCAAGGTCAAGGAGTTAAAAAAAAGGATCCTAAAGGCGTCTGGAGGCTAGGCTGAGGCGAGTCAACCAGAGAATCTGTAATGGACAGGGGCAGGATGGCCCGCTTTGATGTTTAAATCCCCCACTGCGTGCCATATGTGTGGATTTGGTCTCGTTAGTTAACTTCTATGCCGTCGTCTAGTCTCTCCATCTGGAAAATGGGAATAATACCATACCATCTAATTTGGGTTGCTAGAAAGACTGAATCACACACACAAAGCGTCCAGCACGGTGTGCGACACACAGTGACCACTCAATCACTGGTGGCTGCTGTTATTGGATTACCTCCAGTGCCAGCAGCTCTCTGAGCATCCCGGCTGCCTCAACGTCCACACTTGACGGGATGGCAGGCGACCCCGGCCTCTTCAGCAGGTGCTTAGGGCACTGAGTGCATGAGGACTTTCTCCCCCGCAGGGACCCTGTGCCGCAGCCTGGTCTCCCAGGAAGAACTGTGCTGACCCCTCCCCGGCACGAGCCCGGCCCATTTCTCAGGGAGAACGCAGGAGCTGGGAGGAGGACGGGGTCTCAGACCTCCCGGAGACTGGCAAGCGTTGTGCTAGGTCCGGGGAGAGGGGCGACCACGCACCTGTCCCGAGGCTGGCGGCCGAGCAGCCTCTCGTAGCCCTCCCGCCCCAGCTGCTCCACCCCGCAGCTTGGCTCCAGCTGCTGCAGTTGCCTGCACTTCAAGTCTCAGCCAGAGCCTGCTGCAACGTCGCGCCCTGATGACGCGCCCGGCGCGCAGCAGTGACGTGATGGTGGGTGCTGCCCGCGGCCAGCGCCAGGGGGCGGGCCAGAGCGCTGCGGGCTGGCCCGAGGGCCTTACGCACGTGCTGTGACTGCGAGTGGCTCCAAGAGTGAGATCTGGACACGCGAGAGTCGAGCGTGCCTAAACAAATGGTTGCGCTGCCGGGGCTGTGAGTGTGTGAGAGTGTGAGTGTGTGTGTGAGTGTACACGTGCACGCACGCGCGCTCATCCAAATCAAGGAACTCAGCTAATCAGGGGACACCCCCAGCTGTTGGGAAGCGGGTGGGTTGTATGGTTTCATGTATGTGTGTGGGTGAACTGCCCTTTCTTGCAATTTGTAAGACTATGCAGAATTTAATTTGGGAGAGGCAGGGATTTGTAAAAGGCTACATTGTATAATTTCTGTGAGAATAGCTGAGCCTCTAAGAAGGAAAATGAAGAATGAAAAAAGAAAATAAACCTTGAAAGATACAAAGGCTCCATTCGGCAGAAAGATACATTTTTCCTTTTAAATGTATTGCACAGAGTGGTGAACATAGTATTACACTCCGAAGGATTTTCAAATATATGTTTCAAATGTTCTCACCACACACACACACACACACACACACACACACACAAATGGTAAGTATTTGAGGTGATAGTATGTTAATTAGCCTGATTTAATTACTTCCCATTGTATTCATAAATCATCACTTTGTGCCTCAAATATATATAACTCTGATTCGTCAATTTACTATTAAAATATTTTTTTAAAAGACAGCTTAAAGAAATCTGAAGCAAAATTTGGCTTACTTGAGTTGTTTAAACAAAATAACACTGAACAGGAAAAGGCTCTTTCACAATATTTGTCATGCCATTGGTAAAGCTAATGGTTATCAAGAGCATAGCAATTTAGAAAGAAAAAGATAACCTTTTACTTGCACTCAAGCAACAAACAACTAGAATCTGGAAGTGCAAAGATGATTAAGACATAGTCTCTGTCCTCAAGCCACTTGTCCCTCTTGCACACACAAGCTCTAATACTCAAATCTCTGTGCACATCAACCCCAATCAAAAAACATCCACAGCTCCCTAGAGTCCAAATGTCTGAACCTGGCATATTATGGCCTGCCCAGAGGGGGCCTCTACTTCTCCCACTGCTCTCCATCAGGACCCCCCTACCTCTCTGATGTTTCCTAAATAAGCCATGGGCACTGATGCTCCTCATTCTGCTCACACCATTCTACCCCAAATTCTATAATTCTTTCCTGAACTAATTCTCCAATCCTTCCCTTATCACTCCAACCTTCAATGATTACACTTCCTGTGAAACAAATCTCATAAATTTACTCTGGCATATCTTGGGGTCTTTATCAATCTGTGTCAGATTTCCATAAGATTACAAATTAATCATGTCAATGATTTGCCTCAGTCTCCTAGTTAATATTATAATACTTTAGTATAATAAAGTGCTCAGTAAACACTTGTTGAAACTGAGCAACAAGAAAAACAAGAATTCCTCCTCTTGCATTCTCTGCTTCTATTTATAAATCTATCTGAAAATGCAAATATTATTCTCTTTTGAAACAACCTTTGAGGCTGGGGTTGTAGCTCAGCAGTAGAGCACTTGCCTTGCACATGTGGGGCACTGGGTTCGATCCTCAGCACCACATAAAAATAAACAAATAAAATAAAGACATGTTGTCCATCTACAACTACAAAAAAATTTTTTAAAAGAAACAACCCAAAGCAGCAGGAATGTGTATTCATATTTTTAAAATATTTCAATCTTGAGGTAAAAGACTGTTTTTATTCAACCCCAACTGTACCTTAGCAACAAGCTCAAGGCTAAATACTGTATATTAACTAGAATAAGATGAATTCTAATCCCATAATTTCATGGAATTTTATATGCCGATTATTGGTCCCTGAAAAAAGTGGGGGAGGAGAAAGAAAAGCCTTAGGGTTTGAATCATTGCTAAAAAGAAAGTAACACGAAATGGAGTAAAGAAAGCACCAGAGGAATTTCAAAATGTAAGCCAGAAGGGAAGATTGTCTTACCTAAAATTCCTTTGTAGGCCACTCTTCTGTAACAACCATTGCACAAGGGTGACTCTACTTGTAAATGTGGATTGTCATGCTAGGTGTTGCAGGTTACTTAATGAGAATTGTTTTGGAAACAGGTGACACCCTCAGCAATCTATTTTATCAACAGAACAATAATTTTATTGTAATCTAGTCTAGCCGGCCAATATGGAGCAGCAGGACTAAATTTATTTTCCTGCCTAAAACAACAAAAAAAACAAAACAAACAGGTAAATATAAAACAATGGCTTTCAAACATTAGGCATCATGGATCTGTTTGAGACCACAGTCCCTAAGGGAAGGGAAACAAGTAAGCTGAATCCTATGATTGCCTTGGTTTATCACCTAGACAGTTTCCAGGCTGCAGAGAGGAGAGTCCAGGAAAACCTCCTTCAATTAAGGAGATGGAACTGGGAGACCAGGCAGGCTATAGCAGCTGAAGCTGGAAGTAGAGTATCAGAGAAGAAAAAGAGAGAAGGAACCATGGAGATGTGCAGACTTTGCTCCAGCCTTTAGCTGACTAGCATATAGGCTGGGGAAGAACATATAAATGAGAAGAGAGAACCATTGCCAAAGCTTACACAAAGCAGGGAATTATTCCTGTTTCCACAAGTCAGAACATAAAGATACTCAGTGATCATACAGGACCACGAATAGTGCCCAACCTGGTATTTCGGCTGGGAAAAAAAACCCTCATAATTCATGATGCAAATGGTCTTGCCTCAGTAGCAGGACAAAATTAACCGTGCAATAATTACTCCTCTGATCCTAGTTAACAAATCATAACAGTCAGCCCCCAAAAGGTTCAAACTATTTCAAAGAGAAATCCAGAATAAAGAACACTTATAGGAAATCAAAAATATCCAGTATTCAACAAAGTAAATTTACAGAGGCATCAAAATGAAATGACCAGGCATGCAAAAAGAAGCTTCTGCCTCCAGCCTAGTGAAGAGGGGTGAAAAGAATCAGTCAATTAAAAGAGTCCCAGGAATGACATAGATTATAGAATTAAGTAGATAAGGACATTTTGAAAATGATTATAACTATATTCAGTATGTTCAAGGAAATAGAGGAAAGACATTGAGTGAGCATGGTACATAAAAAAGAAAATATTTATTTAAATAGATCCAAACCAAACATCTAGAGATGATGAAATTAGCATCTGATATTTTTAACACACACATACACATTTGTATAGGATTAAGAGAAGATTAGACATTACCAAAAGAGAGTGAAGAACTTAAAAATGTCATGATAGAAACTATCTGAAATGAAACACTGAGGGAAGAAAATGAGCAAAAATAAAATTGAACAAAGTATCAGTTAACTCAGTATTACAAGCAATTGGTGTCCCTGGATAAAAGGGAAAATATGAGGTGAGAAAGATGAGGGAGAATAGAAAGAAATAATTGTCTAATGGAGGAAAACTTCTAAATATGATGAAAACTATAAATTCACAATGCAAGAAACTCAACAATGTAAGTAAAAACGAAGAAAAAACTCTGCCAAGGAATATCACCATCAAATTGCCTAAAGTCAGCAATAAAACCTTAAAAGCAGTCATGGATTTAAAAAGCCATTGTTGTATAGAAGAACAACAGATAAGAGTGACAGCAGACTTATCATCAGAAATAGGCAAACCAGAAAATAGTGGAGCAGTTTTTTATAGTACTGAATGAAAATAAATCAATATAAAATTCAGACACACACAAGGGCACACACACATACATACGTATGTATGTATGGATATATATGTATATAATTCGAAATAAGGCAAAGACATGTTTTGACACACAAACACTAAAATAAGTCATCACTGGAAGACTCCCCCTAAAAGAAATGTTAAAGTTAAAGAAAATGCTATTATATGAAAATCGGAATCTATACAAAGAATTTGAGATCTTAATAGATAAATATGAAAATAAATAATTTTCTTATTTTAAAAACACTTTATAAAAGACAAGTACAACAAAATTAAAAACAATATCTTGTGAGGTTTTGTAACATTTTTAGAAATAAAATATATGACAATAACACAAAGTCTAAGAAAGATAGACAGTAGTAGAGAAGGGATTTGAGCTACACTGTTCTCATACTAAACCCATTCAACTCATTCTTGCCAATAACTGTCACTGTCTTCAACAGATTTCCTTCTAGAATGATCCAGACTCATGGATCAAAACTTATCCTGGCACACCTGTTCAAGTTGCTACAGATCCACATTTGTGTAGTAGCATTTCTCTGTAATAATCTTGTTAATTAATTTGACTTGTCAAAATCCAAATGGTTAAGTCAGTATGATGGTTCTTAACGTAAAATATAACAATTAGTCTATCAAAATCTTTTAAAGGCAATAGTCTGATTGATTTATCCTTTTTGGACCCATGTTCTTATCATCATCTTTTCTCTAATCTGCTTTATTTATGTAGTCAATAAAAATGAAACAGCTACTTCATGTCCATCACTCTGTAGATACCACATTGAACAATTGAACAAGACAGCATAGTCCCTTCCTCCACAGATTTTTTTGTCAGTTATTCTTTTTTTATTAGTTGTTTAAAACATTACAAAGCTCTTGACATATCATATTTCATACATTTGATTCAAGTGGGTTATGAACTCCCATTTTTACCCCGTATACAGATTGCAGAATCACATCAGTTACACATCCACGTTTTTACATACTGCCATACTAGTGTCTGTTGTATTCTGCTACCTTTCCTATCCTCTACTATCCCCCCTTCCCTCCCCTCCCCTCCCATCTTCTCTCTCTACCCCATCTACTGTAATTCTTTTCTCTCTCTTGTTTTTCCTCCACAGATTTTGCAGTCTCGCATACTTACTTTACTCCTGCTTCATAATTATTTCCAAAAAGGTACAAAAACCAGCAGCAAGTTCTTCAGTCTATGGATTCTGGAATCCACTAGTTGATTTGGAGCAGTCTCTGAGAATTTACTGCCCCATACCTATTCCTTGTCTCTGATTTTGTTCTGGGTGATCTCCTATCTAGCTCTGAGGAAAGAATGCGTGACGGTATCTAAGCCAATGGTGATCCTCTTTTTCCCTAATATTGCAGCTGTTTCTGTAGCCAGAACAGTCATATGACCCAGTTCTGGGCAAAGAGAAAGGCCAACTTGAAGACTTCTAGAACTTTTCTTTCCAAGTAAAAGGGAACAGACACGGCAGTCACTGACTGCTGCTTTCTCACTTTCTTCCCCTCTTGCTGTGTGACAATGACCATACCAACATCATCGATCATGCACCTCTGAATTTTATGCACTCTCTACCTATTTAAGCCACTAGAATCTGGTCTTCTGTGATTCTCATGCAAAAGCATTTCTAAATCATACTTAATTTTGAGCACAGATCTTACTGCCGGAATGACTCAAAAATATGAAAAAAATAAAGAGAAAGCTTAGAAATAGTTCCTGCCAACGCCATGCTGAGAGATGGCAATGCAAAGAAACCTTATCTTTTAGAAAGGACCTTAGATCAGAAGGGATTGGAACTTCTCTGGCTTTCTTTTACCATGTTTGTGGCAGAACAAAGGCTCCATTTTTTACTGAAAGCTGCTTCATCAGGAAATTTATTAGTATATTAAGCTTTAAAATAGAGATATCAAAGAATGATTGGAATATTAGGTGTGGTACTGAGTGAAAATGTCTATAACTGCACCCCATACTTGGACTGCAAATTGGACAACCCATGTTACTTACACACACACACACACACACACACATCAATCAGTATATATACCAATATGTGTATTGGTGTGTGTGTGTATAATCATAAATCAAATTTGAACAATTCTAATTCTAATTTGAATAGTTCAGAACAGTAAATAATGAATATCCTGCCCACTATAGAAAGCAGAACCATTCACAATCCTGCACCATGAAGAGTGTGCCCAACCTATAAGCCCAAACAACTACTCACTCAGCCTTGAGTTATTGCTCTCATGCTACAATATGTGATATTTTTTCTTACATATCTATTTTCTCCCAAGTCCTAAAGTACATAGAACTGTGGCTTATAATAGTATAAACTTCCTGGGCAAACAAAACGGAAGATGAGGAAATTTCCCTCGTACCAAAGCCAATTGTGGTAAGACATAATGTCCAAAGAATGAACCCAACCACATCTAACTCATGTGCACACTGGGACAGGAGGCCCCTGTGAAGAGGCAGGTTGGAGCAACAGTCCCTCAAGGTGGTCATCAAATATCCCCAAGTCAAGCAGGAAGGGCTCCTCAGACTTCGGGGAGATCTGTGCTGGCACCACCTGCCAGATGGGGTATATAATGAGGCTCACCTCCCAGGAAGGAAGCACAGCAGGAACTGGGCAGAACTCTGGGCTTCTAGCTACCAGTGGTGCCTCAGGCAGGGTATGGATTTAGGGCAATTAAGAAACTAGCTAATATATCTTTTTTCTTAATCTGTTAGCTCATTCTTAAGGAATGAAAGCCATTTTCCCTTGTTTCAGGAGTGTAGCTAGGCTCCTTTGCTTTAAATCCAAAAGTCCATTAAGCCCTTGAGGGAGCTTGAGTACTTGCAAATAACAACCATTTTGTGATAGAAAACCAAAAAATGAGAAATTGTTTGCCTGGGGTCAGTAGCCTTTGTTTGGCCCTGAAGTCAAAAGAGATTGCTGTCTGAGAAGCAGGTAGGAATCTGCATGGCCTAGACCTGAAGAAGGGGACAGGGCTGAGGAGTAGTTGTGGTTTGGATGTGAGATCCCTCACATGTGAAGTAGGGCCTTCCCTGGATCTACCTAGCTCACAGTAGCTAGGTATTCCATCGAGAGACTGGAGCTTCATGTGTCTGGCAGGGCCCTGGCAAGGAGCAGTGATGAAGACCAGCCTGAACAGAGCCAAACCTGGGGCAAGGGGCAGGGGGCAGACTCCCAAATTATCACTACTGGATAACTAGGGAAACTTGACAAGAGGTATTTAAAGACAGATTGATTCAACAACATTCACCCATTCCCAACACTCTGACCAAGAGCCTGATCCATACCAGGCACCTTGCTAATTTCTGAAGATACAAGGATGAAGATTATGCATGGACCCTGCCCTTGTGGAATTGATAGTCTGATGGCCTATGGCGTGTAGAAATGGACAGCTGGAGGAAAGATGGGGACAAGTAAGAAAAAGAAGAAAAGTGCTAAACAAGGACTTCAAACAGCCTCTGTCACAGAGAATAGCAGAGGTCACTGACCTTAAAGTGGTGAGGAAGGGCCTCTCCATGGAAGGAGTCCGGAGAAGGACTCTCTAAGAAGCCAACAGACATGCCAAAGCCCAGAGGATGAACAGAGCTTGGCAGAGAGTGAGAATTGAGCAAAGACCAGGATAACTGGAGTTGAGTAAAAGGAAAAGTAGCAGAGGGAGGAAGGGGAAAGCCAAGGTAGATCAGATAAAGCAGGACTTGTAAAGCCACAGTAAGAAGTTCATAAAAATAAAACTGTAGCATGTGACATAAAGGTCATGGAGGGATATGCATAGCCTTTACTTTGTAAGATTAGATAAGGAGGAATCAGGGAACAGAAGCCCAGGTGCTTCTTCATCAATCTGGAAGGAGAAGTGGACAGTGATTCAGGGGCCTACCTAGGGTCAGCCCTGGGGCAACTGGCAACAGAGAATGTAGGCAGAAAGGAAGTCCATTTGGTGAGCAACCCTTTGTCCAGCACTTAGCATGTGCCAAGCACTATTGTAAGTAATTTATAGGCATCATCTCAAGCAAGCCTTTGTCAGCCAGGAGCACGCAGGAAAACAGAGCCCATGCCAAACAGCTCAGCTGAGGGATTCTAATCAGAGAACCATTGAAAAAGGTCATGGAAGAGATGAAAGGACACAAGGGGACCATGAGGCAACCCAGAGATAGCAACAACCCGAGATCACTCTCCCCCTTGGGTTACAATGACAAAGCCAAGTGGGACAAAGGACAGGGAACTGTCCAGGAGGAACCTAAACCTCAAAGTCATGTCCTGAGAAAGAGGGGTCTACCCTCTTTCTGCCCTCCTACTACTGATCCACCCTTCCTATTGATCAAAACAAGCATCAAGGGAGCCTGAGGCATGAGTTTATAGGGTCACCCCCGCCCCCAGACATACAGTAGAGCAGGGAAGATTGGAGAGTGGGTCAGGAGGCAAAGAGGCAAACCCGGAACCATCCTTCCAACAGCCCTATGGATTACCAACTATTGGTACTCCCAGTTTTCAGATTGGGAAACTGAGGAACCTGGAAAGTTCCCATGAAACTAGCTAGTGGCAGAATGCCAGTCTGAATTTAGATCAATGTGATTGTGGAGCACAAACAAGCTCATAGTGATATGTCATTTGGCCAGCCTACGAGGGAGCCTGCTAGTTAGGGCTGAGCTGGAAGATCCTAAACCTAAAGAAACAGACCACACTGCGAAGACTCATTCTCCTGAGGAGCCGAGGGCACTAACATACAGAGGACAGTGGCTCAAGAACTGAGCTACTAGCAGCCAGTCCTCCTAGCAGAATGCCTGCGAACTCTGTGAAGGCTAGGCCTCCAGCTCACCTGTTTCCAATCCCAGGTCTGCTTCTGGCTAGCCATTGGAGAAGATATTTAATCTGAGTCCCAGTGTTCTCATTCTGAAAATAGATTTGCTAATATCCATTTACTTATTGGGTTATTTTGAGATAAAAGAGAATAACCTACATCAAATAATTAGCACAGTACCTGCACATGGTAAGATTTGCTAAATGATAGCTATTACTGTCACTGCTGTTAGAATTTGCTATGGATGCTGCCATAGTGTTTTTGGCATCCCTCAGGGCTAGGCTGCCAAGACCCTATGCTTGGAAAACTCACTTCTTGTAGAAACTTTGGCGGGGGCGGGGGGGGGGGGATGAGAATCCTATTCTTTTGAGTTTGAATCCTGGCAAACATTTTATCCTAAAACCATTGAAACTCACACAAACCCTTAAGGGAGTTTCTGGGAAGCACATCTGTAGATCAGTTAGGATGGGCTAGGTTATGATTCAGTAACAAACATCTCTGAGTTTTAAGAAAACAAAGTTTATTTCTTGCAGATGCTATGGGATAATGACAGATTATTATTTTTTAATATTCATTTATTTTAGTTGTACCTTTGTTTTTATTTATTTTTTTTTATGTGGTGCTGAGGATCAAACCCAGGACCTCGCACATACTAAGCGACCTCTACCGCTGAGCCACAACCCCAGAGCCAACATTATAGCGGCTCTGTTTATGAAGGTCATTGAGGGAACCAGACTGAAAGAAGCAACATGTTGACATGTCCTCTGTGGTTGCCAAGGCTGTGAAAAGGGAATATAGTGAACTCTGCACTTGCTCTTAATCTACATATCACTTCCACTCACATTTCACCAGCTAAAGTAATCATGTAAAGCAAGTGGGTAAGGAATTATAATCCTACCATTCTGTATCCTGTCTACAATTCATAATAAAATAAGTAAACATTTATGAACAGCACTTATGACTATCAGAACAACCTCAGGGACACTTTCAGGAATCCTGAGGGAAAGCAAAGGCCCTAATCTAAAAGGAAAAGATTTAGGAATTTCTAGCAAGCCAGGCTACTCTGTATGATATCATGAGAGTTTTCTTCATTGTGCTCAGGAGGATTGCATCACTGAAGACAGCGTGTCACTTAGCAAGACCTTTTGTTCCTAAATATTGCTTAGGACCACATCCCTGAAAATCACCATGGGTTCTTGGAAGATATAGTCTAAGATGGTTGGTGGAGCCGAGATGCTGACACAAATGGTACAGAAAACTAAGTATCTTGTCTTCTGGAAGAGAAACCCTCACATAACCCTAACCCTAACTTCTAACCTAGAAGTCAGTGGCCAGAACTTTCCTATTGTTGTATAAGCCGATGTGAAATTATTGGGTATTGACATTTTACTGAGCAAGTCCAAGCTCTGAGTATCAGGGGCAAGGTCTTTCCTTGACTTTCACGATCCATGCCCTCCTGCGTTTCTTTCTACCCACCTAGATGTTTTGTTTTCTTGGCATCCTTTACTGGCTCCAGGTCCTCCTTCATTCTCACCCTATTCTCTCACCCTAGCACATGGGAAACTCGGGAAATTTTCCCATATCCCTTCTGGATCTTTTCCCACATTAAATCCAGAATAACTCAGCAATTTTACCTTATAAATCACTCTAAGCCCTGCATCCACTCATTTCCCTCTCCACCTGCACTCTTATCCAAACCGCCATCTTTCCCAGGAGGCAAAATGCTTACTCTGTGTGCACCTCATGTCTAGTTCTGACACCCACCACCCTTCCACACATGCCCTACCGCTTGTCAGCTGGCACAGTTGAAAATGCAGCATGGACCATGCCAAACACCCCCACCTCTCTTCCTCCTCCCCCCTCCAACTGATTAAAATCCTTACAATTGCTTCTTACAGATTTTAGGACAAACTCTGAAGTCTTAAACATGGTCTTTAATGCCTAGCACAGTCTGCTCCACCCTCATCTCCTTCTACACACCCTTTCTCTGACTTTAGCCACCCTACCTTGCTTTCAGTTCCTCAGGAAACAGAGGTCTGTCCTTCCCTTGCACAGGCTGCTTTCTTTGCTTACAAGGGTCTCTCCGACTATTTCCCTTCTTGTCTCCAATCCATGCTTTCAAACACCACTCAAATCTCACTTCTTCCTGAAAACCTCTGTTGACTCTTCAGACGAAGTTGGGCCCCAAGTCATAAGCTTCTCTCTCATAGAATTTATCACAGTTACCATTAAAGCTCTTGGTTGTAGAATTAATCATTCTGTAGCAGTGTCCACGATATGCTTTGAATATAGCCCTTGCTGCTTTGCCACTGCAACTTATTTTTTAAATGGACATGTTTCTTTCTCTTCCTCTCTCCCTGATTCTCCCTAATCTTCCTTCCCCATCCTAGGCAAAGTTATCTGTCCCTAATTACACACTCATCATAGGAATGAAGTGATGCAGACTTTGGGGATGGTTCTAAAAGATCTCAGAAATGACTATCTCCCAAATTAACAAGTGAATTATAACCCCAACAGAGAACATGTGGAATGTAGCCTTTGAGTCACCTCTTTAAGAGCCCCCTGTTCTGGTTGATGGGCAGAATCATAGCCTTTGGGACAGGAGTCCCCTGTGTTCTCCTTCACTAGAAAAGCAATTACCTTTTTCACTTTTCTCAAAACCGTATCCTTGGTATTGAATTGGCATCAGGGACAAGGACCAAGGTTTTGGCAACAATTCTACAACTCTCCCTCTTAAATGTCGTTCTTGATTTCCCCCATTCCCTTCCCCTGCATTCCTAGCATGGAATCGTGCCTTGATCAATAACAAAACAGATGTTCAATATCTGTTTGTCAAATGTCTAAAATACAACTACATAATGAAGAAGAATATGGAAGGTATTTACAACTGCCAACTTGCCTGACCAAGGGTAGTATTCAAGGAGGGATATGTAAATCACAGAACTGGGGGACTCAGGACCTTGTGAATCTTGGGGTGGTCATATACCCAAGCCTGACAAAGGAAGGCATCAGATTTCCCAGGTGTCCTCTACTCCCATCCACACCCTGGGTCAGAATCAAGGGGACAGCATTAACTGTGAAGGAGAATAGCAGCCCAGATCTCTGGTGATGGCCAGCAACACATGGTGGGGATGCACTCTGTGTGACTGCCACCATGGAGAAGAATGCCTCAGTGTCAACTGGGCAGCACAGAAGCTGGAGGAAGCACACATGTGCCCGCATACTTGAAGGAAGGAATTTGAAAACACTTGAAAGAAAGACCTGGAGGGGTTGGAGATGTGGCTCAAGCGGTAGCGCGCTCGCCTGGCATGTGTGCGGCCCGGGTTCAATCCTCAGCACCACATACAAACAAAGACGTTGTGTCTGCCGAGAACTAAAAAATAAATATTAAAAAATTCTCTCTCTCTCTCTTTCTCTCTTAAAAAAAAAAAGAGCTGGATATGCCTGGGGACAGGCTTTTTTTAAAAACCTTTCCTCCCTCAGGATCAGTCTCTTTTTAAAAGGAAAAAAAAAATAATCTAAGACAGGACTACGGAGAGTTCAAAGCCAGCCTCAGCAATGCCAAGGTGCTAAGTAACTCAGTGAGACCCTGTCTCTAAATAAAATACAAAATAGGGCTGGGATGTGGCTCAGTGGTCAAGTGCCCCTAAGTTCAATCCCTGGTAGAAAGAAAGAAAGAAAGAGAGAAAGGAAGGAAGGAAGGAAGGAAGGAAGGAAGGAAGGAAGGAAGGAAGGGAGGAAATATCTAAATGCAAAGTAAACTAGAACCTCAGTCATTCACCATTCAGTCTAATTAGTAGAAAGATTAACCTAAATTCAACTAAGGCTCACTTCTAGAATACTTTTAACAAAATTTAATTCTATTACTTTCAAGGGCATATAGAGGCCCAAAGATTTTCTTTTAGAAAATGTATTCTCTTGAGTGTTCTAAACACGTTCTGTATAACTGCCTTTGACTTTTAACATACAAATTTCCCCAAAGAAAATATCTCCAAAGTAAAAATTTTTATCAACCCAGTTCCAATTATCTAAATTGTCTGATATAAAACAAAACCTGAATATAAAGTCAAAACTCAGTTGACTGAGGTTTAACCATGTCTATTCTAGCAGGCATTCATCATCATCCTACAGAAATAATCTCCACCTGAAAGTAAGAATGAGAGAACAGGCTCTCCGTAACCCAGACCCTGGGGTGAGATTTCTTCTCTAGCTTCCTCCTGCACACCACTTCTTGGATGGACTGTGGAGCTTGATCCCTTGCTGTGTTAGGATGAATGACACATGCATTGCATTCCCACTGCACGTCTAGGTGCAATGTGAGATGGTAAAACACTGTAGTTAATTTTTTCCAGAGGCTCTCCATTTTGGCCAATGTTCCTACTTCATCTCTAAAACCACTGGATACACATAAATTACACACACGAATTAGAGAATTCCTAGTAACCACTATAGGCCATGGAGGTGTTAAGTAAATATTAATATCAGTAATGTTGATTTTTCTCTAGGTGAGTTATAGGTGACATCCTTAGAAAACAGTCCATCTAAATTTCTAGGTCACCTGCTCATTAGCTGTTGAATAAACACAATTCTAGACAAAGAGTAAATTATATCTAAAGCCCCATCAAGGGAGTAAATCCTGGAATGCATGAAACTTTAACCTCCCAGAGATAAGGTTTAGTTGAATTTCAGCTTTACAGACATGCCTAATGTACCCAGAGTAAATTTATTTTCATAGTGATAAAGGCTAGAAAAATAAAGTTACTTTGTTGATTAGTAGCCTCATTTTTTTAACTACAGTAACTCAGCCAAATTCTAATTAAGCAGAGCTGGGATCTGGCTCCCCTCTGCATATGACCTGGTAAATTCTCTTATTCACAAAACCAGAGGTAGCATGTGTAGGAATCCAGTTAATAATTAGGCATGTGCTTCAAGTTTACAACATGGGTACTGTTCAGACACGTCCAAATGATAATTATTCTGAACCACTAATTACAGCTCGACAAACTGCATCATCCACAAATGTGAAGGGTCTTGTAATGCTGTATGTAAACTCAATTCATGGTTTTCATCTCTCTGTGCCCCATTTTCTCATCTATAAAACAAAGCTAATAACAGTACCTATCTTATAGTATTATAAGGATTAAAAGTTAAGATATGTAAGGCACTGAGAGGGTGCCTGGGTCACATGGTAGATACTCTGTGACACTTGCAATTAGCATAAG